GCAAGAGACTGACTTCCTAAAGGTACATGGTTCCCTTCTTTCAGTCTTGAAATTTCATCATAAGTGGTCACTGGAAACACATTCAAGACACAATTGAAATTCCCGATGTAATCTGCTATCGACTTGCTGTCCACTAATAAAAAGAACTGGGTTTCCCAAACACACAGCAGATAGATGATTCTTAAATAGTATGGTGCATGTTTCCAGGGCCCTATATTTCCCAGGCCCCTCCTTGTAATTTTGAAAACAGCCCTATATTCCCAAGGTTCTACATTCCCTGTGACATTTTGAAGGAAAAATGTGATGGAAAATAGCTCTATGTTCCCATGTTGCCTCAGTCATGTTTCCTCAACATGAAATTAATGGTAAGGTCATACCTCTGGTATATTTACAAACTTACCATTATTTTCATGTTGAGGAAATAGATCATATGTTTAGTGGATAATCCAAACTTTTATGAGTTTATGCACATGCTGCTTCCCTTATTATCACACACTCTGGCTGAACATTTTATTGAACAAGAATGAGAATCTATTCAGGAATAGGCAGCAGTTTAATGTTTGAACATCACAATATTAGCGACATTGCAAAACATTACTAAAATTCCTGCTAAAAGAATTTCAGAATCTTATAAACTTATACCTTTCATTTCTGTGCAGTTTAAACAAACCTTGATATTGCCCTCACCATTTATCAATGTACCATCTCAGCTTTGGTACTTTATTCTTTCAACTTGCTAGTTAGTAAGCTAAGAGCTACACATCGAGCAACAACAAAAAAGAAAGGTAATGCATCACATTTAAACCAGACGAAGCAATTATTTCATTAAAAAAGTGAATTCTACACTCCAACCTCTCAAAAAAAGTTTGAATTACAAAGTTTACTTTGCTACTTAATTAGCTCCCTTAGCCCAGCCTAGCTGAGGCAAAGTGCATTCCTACTGAAAAATCTGCCACGCCGTTACCTGTATGACCTTTCATGACTCCATGACCTTTACTAGGACCTTGGGAACTCTTTCACAGGTTCCCTTAATGTATCACATGATTTATCATATAAAGAAGTGAACACTGGGTCCTGAGAACACATGGAAGCTCCCCCACCCATCAGCACTCTGCAAACTGCATGACTAAATCATCACACGCTTCCCTTAAATCATGTTGAGTTGTTAAGTGATCTCTAATAAACACACTCATGTGGTTTCTGACACACTGTTACAATATGTCTATATAATGCATAAAGAAGATTTAAAAATTCAGAATTCAAGATGGCTGCTATTGTTTTCAGCTGTTGTCTGCTGGACTGAATTTATTGTTAACTTCAAAACATGAATAAATGCTCTCTTTCCTGTAGCTGTACCATGTAAGACGCCCTCTGTGCTTGGTGAAGGAAAAATTAACTGCTTTGAAGGCAACAGCACTTTCTGCATAGTGGAGTGCTCCCCTGGTCACCTGCTGCTGGGCACCCTGAACCTCACCTGCCAACATGACGGCTTATGGAGTGACTTCCAACCGCTGTGTATAAGTGAGAACGCAACCGAACTACTCAGAATTCATGATGGTGTCAAGTTTATATTCCAATGTTTATAACATTTCAGTAGTTACGTCCCTGATTCCCAGTGCCACACACTCTTAAAAATGGATGGTGCTTTAAAAAACTATTTTTTGTAAATGAGATGTGAAGGACCTTTTTAAAACTTGAAGCACCTCCACAAAATGTTAAGGTTCTATACCCAATAAATGTGTTCAAGAACCATTAAGGAACCTTTAAGAATATATCATTGTACCACTCTCCTAGACTATATCCTAGACCACTAGAGGGAAGTGTGAGTCAATATCAAGACTTGTAGTAGCCGAGTCTCAAGTCAAGACCAAGATCAGATTAAGACCTTTTTGATAATATGAAAATAAAAAGATGAAAGGGGGAAACTGTTCATTTGTAGTGCCATCATTCATTATACATGATATATACATGAATATATATATATATATAATACATTTTGTCATATACTTTGTAACTTATGACATCAAATAATGTACAGGGTTCCAGTTTCCTCTCCATTTTAGTTCTACCCAGTTCCAACCAGCCATAGCTTAGACTGAGGCTGAGACTGGACTCGAGTACTACACTAGTATACACTGCATTTTTTGCATTTTGCCAGCTCAAACTCACTAGAATCCCAGAAACTACCTTGAGCATATTTTTACAACATTTAACTTCATGTCTATCAAAGTTCTATTGAATAATGATTTGAGAGTTTTCTTTGCCAAAGCACATATAGAGTCATATGCAGAAGCTTGAAGACTACCAGACAGATGACATATTTTGATGATTTTCTAAGTGGAAAGTGTACGATTTCTATTTATTTGGTGAGTTTAACAATTGCAAAATAGAAAAAAATATAACATGTTTTTACCCCCATGTTAAATGTGGCAAATAAACAGCAAAAGTGCATTAAAGTGTGCAGAAGTGTGTTCTCTGCAGACGATGTGTTCATTTATTTTCACTTACAAAATCAACAAAACGCGTGTCATTTGACCAGAGGTGCTCAAATATTTGTATACTCTCAAATCATATTTAACAAAGCCTACTCATGTCTAAACTTCGGATAGGTAATGTGCAGACACATATATACTGGGAGCACTGAATGGTAACATTGCAGAGTTATTCTGCGCTTGATTCTCTGCAGGTTACGGCCATTTGTTACTGGCTTCATCGGTGTGCAGTGTCCTTTCAACAAGCTGCTACTGTATACTCTGCTGTTCGCTTTGCAGAAAGAGTGAGTATGTTGTTCATTCTTTATATGCAACATTTAAGAATATTGCTATTTTCTTTGTTACTCTAGTCATTATAACATCAATTGTCTCCTATTTAATGTTGCAGGAAAAAAGACAGTCAGAAGGTAAAACAACTTTGACATTTCATTACAGCTTCTGTGAAATCTATAAGGGTCTGTTTACATCTTGCATCAACATGTTTTCAGTGATCTTATCACGTTCAGATTTCACTTGACCTCGTGAAAAGCCTCTTGTAAACACCTGATCCGGATCATCAGATGAGTAATATGGACGTGTGCCTGGGGGTCTGTGCCACTAGGGGACCCCCAGGGCAATTATGACAAAATCTAAACTGCAGTTTTAATTTGTTTCTTGAACATTACTAGCAGCACAAAAATTAAATTATTTAAGCTTTCCCGTTGTGTTAAAGCTGATCATAATCCTGACAATCTACACGTTCTTCCTAAACATCTGCTTCATTCTTTTCCACTGCTTAGCAACTGTTACACTATCTGGCATTACCTCGGTCAAGCTTTCAGGTTTTTAGTTAGCTCAGTTGGTTAGAGTGTGGTGCTAATAACGCCAAGGTCACGGGTTTGATCCCTGTGCGGGCCACTGATCTGCTTTGGGGCAGTCATGGGCTGGAGGTTAGGGAACCAGCCTTGTGACCGGAAGGTCGCTGGTCCAATCCCATTAACTGATAGGACATGGCTCAAGTGCCCTTGAGCAAGGCACCTAACCCCCAACTGCTCCCCGGGCACCGTGGATAGGGCTGCCATTGCTCCGGGCAAGTGTGCTAACTGTCCCCTAGTCTGTGTGTTCACTAGTGTGTATGTGGTGGTTCATTGCATGGATGGGTTAGATTGCAGAGGTGAAATTTTCCCATGTGGGACTAATAAAGTTCGCTTAATCTTAATCTGATACCATTTCCAAAGACAAACACAAATTACAAATGCCAGCCTGAGTTACAGAAATAAGTTGCTGCGTTGTCTGCAGTGATCTATAAACTTACTTCTCAGCATAAAGTAATCAAAGGTAAGACATAAAAACATTTTCTTTGCCTGCTATGGCATTGCTTTAACTTATGATGCTTGATGGCTTCATTTTTTAAGGTTTTCTGGTGTTTTCTTCATCTTTGTCATGTACATTTAAGCCTTCTGCTTTTAACTGATGCCTTAAGTAAGTGTCGTGTTGGTGGCTGGGTTTATGTTATCTTTGTGCCTTGTTATTGTGTCCATGATCTTCCTTTTTTGTTTGTTTTGTACCACTATACCATGTTGGATGTTATGGTAACCGCACTGATGTCTGTCAGCAATATGCTGTAAGCTCATATCATGTCATACATGCAGTGTGTTTGGAAATTGTAATTTTTGACAACTTACTATTCTCTTTATGCAACCAGGGCAGGTCAGCATTCTCCCTGAATGACAAAAAAAATCATATTTCATATTATAAACAGAAACATTTTATTCAAGAGGTTTGTTTTTAGACACAAATATGTGTTTATAGTGCTCATATGCACAAAGCCTTAGTTAGTATGTTGTCATTGAGATGCTGCCCAGCCCACATTTAACCTGCTGCGCTATCAAAAATAAATTCTTGACCACCAACAAAAGTAGCGTATATAGAGACCCACCAAACATTTGTACCTATAACCTAATGATCTGGGCCTCCCAGGATGCACTGTGTTTGGATTATGATTGGATCACTCAAACCACATTCAGAGCTTGTCAGAGACAGATCTTGACTACATTTAACCCAAATGTCAACAGAATGCATTTTCGTTATCCATAAACAATTATGTAAGTGGAAACGTGTCTGCCAAGTGTTGAGAAAAGCAGGAAGAGTACAGTCAGATCTTGTCAGTTCACACCAGGAATTCATTTTAGTGAAAAGTGTAAATGGAATCTAGCCAAGGTTTATCCAGATATGATCCAGACACAAAACACATGTTAATGCAAGGTGTAAAGAAGATCTAAGTGTGTTTCATGAGTAATATGTTCATACACTATATGGACAAAAGTATTGGGACACACCTCTTAATCACTGAATTCAGGTGTTTCATTCAGTCTCATTGCCACAGGCACCTAGCCATGCAGTCTGCCTTTACACATTTGTGAAAGAATGTGTCGTTCTAAAGAGCTCAGTGAATTTGAGCGTGGTGCTGTAAAAGAATGCCACTGTTGCAACAAGTTAGATGATTTTATATATATATATATATATATATATATATATATATATAGATAGATAGATAGATAGACAGAGACAGACAGACACTTTATTGATCCCGACAGACGTTTAGCAGCCAGTAGAAGTCACACAGCACAGTTACAATAATAAGAGTGGTGCAATATGAAAAGAAGAATGTACAGGCTCAACAGAATTGTTAAGTATAAATAACACTGTCAACTATAAACAAATAAAGTTACCGAGGCCCATAGTGCATAAAAGTCGCCAACGCTCTGCTGATCAATTACTGCAGAGTTCCAAACCTCCTCTGGCATCAACATCAGTACAAAAATTGCACCAGAAGCTTCATAGCATGGGTGTCCATGGATAAGCAACTGCATGCAAGCCTTACATCACCAAGCACAATGCCAAGTCTCGGATGGAGTGGTGTAAAGTGCCACCACTGGACTCTGGAGCAGTGGAACCAGATTCTGTGGAGTGATGAATCAGCTTCTCTATCTGTCAGTCTGATGGACGAGTCTGGGTTTGGCGAATGCCAGGAGAACGTTACCTGCCTGACTGCACTGTGCCAGCTGTAAAGTTTGGTGGAGGAGAGATGATGATATGGGGTTGTTTTTCAGGGGTTGTCTAGAACCCTTAGTTCCAGTGAAGGAAAATCTTAATGCTTCAGCAGAACATGACATTTTGGACAATTCTAAGCTTCCATCTTTGTGGGAACAGTTTGGGGAAGAACATTTTCCGTTCCAGCATGACTGAGACCCCAGTGCACAAAGCAGCTCCATAAACTCATGGCTGGGTGAGTTTGTTGTGGAAGGACTCCACACAGCCTTGACCACAACCCCATCAAACACATTTGTGATGAACTAGAATGAAGATTGTGAGCCAGAACCTCTCATCCAACATCAGTGTCTAACCTCACAAATGCTCTTCTGGATGAATGGGCAAAAAATCCCACAGACACTCCAAAATCTTGTAGATCTTGTAAAGCTTCCCAAATCAGAACAGTGGAAGCTGTTATAGCTGCAAAGTGGGGACCAACTAAATATAAATGGCTATAGATTTAGAATGGGATGTCATAAAAGCTCCTGTAAGTGTAATGTATAGGTGTCCCACTACTTCTGTCCATATAGTGTAGCTCTGATTATAATATTTAAAACTAATCAGATTTTTTCCTTTCCATCAATCAGAGCTCAGGAGGCAGTGATGAATCCAGCATATCAAGCAGGAGATGCAGAGCTGGAAGAAACATTACACAGTGTGTGATGCTCAAGTGACCACTTTCATTCCACTCTTTAAAGCTGCCATTTTACAAAAAATCAAATTTCCCTGGTTTTTTTTTGTTTTTTTTTATTTTTTAAGAGTCTGACGTAGAATGTATGCAGGACGTCTCAAAACAAACCATTGTCAGTCCATAAAGTCCATATATGGAAACTTGGAAACTATGCTGCAAAACTTTTTGAAAAAAAAAAAATTGCAAAAACTTTTTATAAAATAATTATGGGCAGCTCAACACTGCACTTAAATGACATCAAATAAATGACTTTATCATATTATTTATTATAAACTGACAAAATCCATTTAAGATGTTTGTAAATTTTTTCCCCACTATTATACTGGTGTAAATGCTTTCACTATTTATTTCAAGTTTTTGCATTACAAAAGTATGTGATCAGCATAACAAGTTAAGTGGACCATAGAATCTTGGATGTATTTTCAAAATTTCTTATATTTAGTATTTTTTATTTTATTTTAATGCAGCATGCACTTGAACTGACATGGACAAGTTTGTATGAAAGCCTTTGATGAGATAAAATCCACCTGAGATGAGAAACTTCAGTGGAAAAACCTTTTTGTAAAAAGGCCTTAACATGGTCATCATCACAAACTAGATTAAATTTGAATAGTGATGTAGAAATATTGCAGAGTCTTGAATATCTGATTCATTTGACTTTTTCTTGTTTTACATCTTTCAAAAAATCTAAAAACTTTGTTGTTTCTGTCCAGTTTTTTTTAAAGCCAGACTGTTGTACCTCTCTCAATGTTACTCTTAAAGGTGTTGTAAAAAAGCTTGTTTAATTCTAAGAGATACAGAGAGACTGGAATATAGTCATGCAAGAAACAAATAACTGTTGATTTTGGCACATCACCCAAAACAAATGTTATAAGTAGACTTCAAAAGAAAGTATTTTTTAGTAAGTTTTCACATGGCAAAAAATGCTAATCACACCACATTTCAAGAACCTAACAGACTGCTGCCTGGCAAAGTTCACTTCTCAATGCATGAGTCAATATCTAATTTTTGAGTGTACTGGTTTGTGTCATAACTTAATTATATTAACTTATTTATATTAACATGCTTTGTAGGTAGAGTGGGATGTGTATGACTTTAAAAAATCTTTTAAAAATTTGTGAAATAGCTAATCATTTCAGTTCTGCTTTACTGCCTTTTATAAGTATTAAAGAACAAATATTAAAACTCACTCAAAACCTAGACAATCTGATGGTCGAGGGTCCCGGTTGATGATCTGTGCTTGGTCATTAATGAATTTACTACTTTAAGCTTTCTTATTTAAGGAAGGGCGTTGGGAGAGAACCCAGATTCTAACAAAGCACAAAGCCAGAACATTACAGTACCCACCCCCCAGAAACAGCATCCAACATTCCCAAACCTGCTGTGTGGTTCAGGGTCCAGGACGTGTCTAGCGGTTCCTCCAGCCCATACCCCTTGCAGTCCATTAAATATTGAGTACCCCCTACAAACTCACTGGGAGTCCAGAAAATGCTGGACCATGTAAGCAGGGGACCCTGTGATTATATGCAGGGGCAGAGGGATAGAGACTGGAGCCAGGGAACTACAGAGGACCAGTTTCAGGTGGGAAACATGAAACGTTGGGTTGATGCGCATGGTGCAGGAGAAACCAGGAGGCCACCAGGATAACCAGACGTGTTATTTTGAAAGGGCCAATATAACACAGGGCCAGACTCTTGGACTCCATCTTAAGTGGCACGTCCTTGGTGGAGAGCCAGACACATTGTCTCGGATGTTAGGAAGGACCCAAACATCGCCTACGATTGGTGGTTTCCTTCTGCTGTATTGTTGCCTTTTGCAGTGCTGTACGGGCCTTCTGCCATGACCATCAACAACATTGAACAAAGTCTCGGGCTGCATGGACCTCAACCTCGGACTCGTGCTTAGGAAACATGGGCAGAGGACACCCAAACTGGCACTCGAAAGGCAACAAGAAAAGGCAACAGGAGTTCCTAATGGTCATACTCTGCCAAGAGCAGGTGCTCAGACAAGGTGGAGGATCTAGAAGATGCCATTCATCTGAGTATCCTCTCAAGGCCTTGGTTTATCCTCTTAGTCTGCCCATTTGCCTGGGAGTAAAAACCAGGGGATAAACTTATGGAGGTCCCCAGTAATTTGCAAAATGCCCCCCAAAAGCTGCTGGTAAGTTGGGGCCTTGGTCAGAAACCACATCCATCCATGGATTTTGAACATTCTGTGACCATTTTGGAAAACAGCCCGTAATGCCTCCTCATGCCAGAATGCAGAATTCCATGGCATAGTCTGCCACTGAATGTCTACCCTGCCTTATTCGGAATAGACCCCGTTACTCCTCCACAGACTGAGTGATCAAAAGTTCTGCGCATAGAGGCCATAAATTGTTTGGCAGAGGAATGTATGGTCTCATCGTTCTCCCACAGAGGGGCAGCCCATGTCAGGGCCGAACCAGTAAATAGTGAGGTGAACAGGGAGCCCAGGATCCCCGTTATACCTTTCAGGACAAAGTAGATTGGGTTCTGTCCTAGGAACAAGGAAGTGGGACTTTTGGTAGACTGGGCTGGAGATTCAGCTACTTGAGTTTCAGTTGCATTACTGAACCCTGATTTGCTAGGGCATTCCTTAACTTGTTGACACTGTTCTGCTGAGTCCATGTCCTGGCTCAGTCTTGCTGTAACGTGGTGGCTGGCATATCCCACATGAGGACTGAAGCAACAATCCCCTATTAGAAACCCAGTGAGATATGGGATAAACCACTGAGCAGGTGCAGAGATGAACTCAAGTGCAGAGCAGTAGAGAATGAATGAGAAAGATGGAGAAAAGCAAGGCTGCACCAAGCAAGACCCAAGCTTGCAACCTCACAATGTGGGGTGAGTGCACTACTGCTGAGTTACTGCAGCAATGCTAAAGAGATCCTCACAGAGGAGCTGATAAACAAAAGGGGGAGCTAATGCCAGACAAAAGAAATGCCAGATCAGCGTCTTCAAAAAAGCAAGTTTCTGAAAACTAAGGGAGAAATTAAATCAACTGAAAAGGACACTCAAATCGAACACAAGGAAGGGCACTGGGAGAAAACCCAGATTTTAGCAAAGAACTCAAGACCCGAGAGAATACCGTTACCTGCTCAGCAGAGAGGCATGCGTGTGGCAGCATAAACTCAAGACTGAGCAGAAAGCAGTGTGTGAGCACCCCTAAATAGGGGGCCCATAGCTGCTATCACTCAGCCCTAATTACCCCTTAGTGTAATTACTTTCAGTATGTCTCTTCTTGTGGTAATGACAAAAGTCTTCAAAACTGTGCTTTAAACGCAGTAACTACTATCAAAATGGTTGGACTTGGGTGCAAAAAAAAGCTACACAAATGACTCGTACAACAAAAAGGAGTCCACAAAAGCCACAATTCTTAAAATCTGTGTCATCACAAGCTTTTCTTTATTTGCCAGACATAAGTTCCTGAAGAGCAAAGTGCACGTGAGCCAAAACATGGCAGCCTTTTGGTGTGCAAATCATCTGGTTGCTATGTAAAGTTGTTTTTTGACCTGCACACTCAAGTCCAGATGTTTTGATAGCTACTGCTTTTAAGTCACAATTTGAAGATCTTCATCAATACTACAAGAAAGAAACATACTGAAACTAAGTTTCTCTCTCCCTATTTCTGTGTCTCACCTGCTCTTCCTGCATTAGGCCCGGTGTGTCTGGATATGTCCAATAACTGTGAAAAATGATGAATAAAGGCAGATTGTCCAGCCAAATTCACTTTTTCATGTTGTAGTGTTTTTGCTAACCATGATTTCCTCTCATTATGATAAAAGACAGGTTCACAATTGTTGACAGAGCACTCTCACAACAATGTGTGTTGCATAATTTCCTAGTAGGTGTGGCACAGCTTGGCTACAATGCAAAACTGCATCAAACAGATGCAATACCATTCACAGAGAGGGTCTCTTTCTCAGAACTCTTTTTCGGGGGATGCTGTTAAGGTAAGCTGTGCATCTGAACACAGGTTTTCATTTTAACACAGGCTCTTTTGGTTTTGATTGCATTGTGAGAGATTTACACTGCAAAATGTCAATTTTATAATAAAAGATTTCCTTGCCAGGAAAATCTTGCAGATTTTTGCAGTAAAGAAAACCTGTCAACTCCACTCTAAGGTCATTTGAATAAAATATGAAATATATTTTTCATTCTTCACAGATGTTACATTGTGCATTTACATCTGTAAATATTTGCTAATAATAATAATAACTAATAATAATAACTAATTATTATTATAATAATAATAACTAATAATCAATCACTGTTTATGACATATTTACACCCAGACTCACATACAGTTCTCCTGACTTGCTTCTTGTCCATCAGATGGTTTTTATGAAGCATATATGGCTGTATTTTGGATGGCTGGCTGTTACGATCATGGTTCATAATGGTACAGTATGTTTGATTATTTATTACCTGCTGTTTTTTCCAGTTATAGTTACTTGAAGACTAACAGTTTGATAAAGACACCTTTAGGCATGTCTTTATTAATCACTTATTTAGTCGTTAATCTTTAGACTTAAAGAAACAGTCTGGCAAATACATAATTTACACAAATTTCCTCTTAGTCCATCAGCCAAGACATGTTTGGTGTCTTAAGTTTGTTTCTTTAATTTTGCACAAGAGCTACGAGGCTAATATAAGGAACAAGTTATGTTTGTTACCCCACAGCATTCTGGGAGAGCATGCAGAAATGTTTACACATTGAATAACCTCTATTTCAGATCACTGAACTTGGTTTGGGTTGAATCAATTGTGTGAAGATCTCTGCAGGCAGTTTTGCAATATTGTCAATTGGTGAGGTTTAAACTTCCTCATGTTTTAGCTGGTGTTGTAGTCAAGACCACTAGAGGCAAGTCTGAGTCAAGACCGAGACCAGATTGTGATTTTTTTTTTCAGAATATAAAACTAAACAGGGAAAAGGGGAAGAAACTGAAATTCATTTATAGGTCATACTAATGTTAGCTACATTAGCCTTCTTGCTCCAGCTCAAAATGAAAAACAGAAATGTGGACATCAAACACTGTCTTCATTGGCTTCCTGAATACATTTGGGGTAAGATATAATTTGAGTATACTTATATATCAATTTTTTGGCTGAACTATTCCTTGAAGATTCCATAACCTCTATTAATATTATTCTTAAGCTTTGCATGAGCATGAAGAACTAAAGTATAAGGGTTAAAAGAATACATCAACTAAAATAACACAAATAATTCCTCAGACACTGAAAGAGTAGATGGGTGTTTCTACATACATACATCATCTAAACCGCTTATCCTTCTGGGTCACGGTGGGGTACTGAAGCCTATCCCAGCTGTCATTGGGTGGAAGGCAGGATACACCCTGGACAGGTCGCCAGTCCATCGCAGGGCAGACAGACAGACATACACATTCACACCTAGGGGCAATTTAGTATGTCCAATTAGCTTAACTGCATGTTTTTTGGACTGTGGGAGGAAACCGGAGTACCCAGAGGAAACCCACGCAGACACGGGGAGAACATGCAAACTCCACACAGAAATGACCCTGGTCGCCCGGCCGGGAATCGAACCCAGGCTGTTCTCGCTGTGAGGCAACAGCACTACCCACTGCGCCACCATGCTGCCCGGCGTTTCTACAATTACAGGCAATTTTAGGTCCCAGCAGTTGATTTTTGATATATGTTAACATTTATCTTAAGGCAGAGAGGACTGAGTAACACTGTATTTGAAGACTACCTATATAAGGACATTATAACACATGCATAAGCACTGAATAACATATTTATAAAGCAATACTTGAATATTTATTAACATCTTATGCCAGCAAATGCAAGATATCATAAGATGAAGTAAATGACATTGTATTGACATAAAGGTTTTGTACTTCATGTAGAACTATGTAGAACTGATATAATTTCTAAACTATGTTCTTCTAAGTTCTTCCTTTACTTTGGAATGGTGCTTCATAATATTGTTAAAAAAGGAACAAATGTCCATCACTTTAAGGTCCCTTATGTCAATGCAATGTCATTTACTTCATTTTATGTCATCTTGCTTTTACTAGCATAACGCTGTTGTCGGAAGAAAACCTCGTATCTCCATTTTTGACATTTTTCAGTTTTGACATAATTTGAAAATACCTGATGCCCTTTACATTGTTTGTAAATTTCATGATGATTGAACCAAAAGAAACATCCCAAAATGACTTGTGAAAAATTCTGGTTTCATTGACTTACATGAAAAGTAAACTATGTTTTTTTGAAATACAAGGTCTTCCAATAACAAAGATAAGCTGGTGATTAATACTCAAATATTATGTCATAAATATACTATTCAGTGCTTATGCGTGTGCTGTGTAGTACTTATGTAGGTAGCCTTCAAATAAAGTGTTACCGTACAGTGTCAGTTTCACTTTCACATGTAAACTGGTTACTAAACGTACTGAGTTGTAATTTATGACACATATTTTGGGTCAAAATACCAGTTTTATTCATGCCAAACAGCTGTGATTTCTATCTGGACATACATTAAAATTTGTTACTGAACTACAAAATGACATCTTTTCTATTGTAACTGCACTGTATAAATATTATTAAATGAATACTGTTATCAGTCATTTCTTCTTATATGTCTATATGTGACACTGAACAAATAACCTAAAATAACACCTACTTTCATTTGAAGTATTAGTTACTCAATCAGTACATGGACAGAAGTGTGGAAAATCTAATCTAGGGGTTTCTGGATTTACAGACAAGCAAAGTAAACATCATCTTTTCATCTTCAGTATTTTCTGCATATTCTTACCAAAGATTTTATAACTACTGTGATTTAAGAACTGCCTGCGGTGGCAGAAACACCCAGGTATGGAGATGATTCAGCAGACATTGAAACAATGTCCTGAGAAAACTCTAACACAGTCGATCACATGTCAAACAGAAGTCGAGGCCTGGACGTATCATTACCGGACAGACAGCAATATGACCTGGGAGACAGCTCGCCGGTGGTGCCAGCAGCATTACACAGACATGGTGGCCATCCAGAACAAGGAGGAGATCGCCTACCTGAACAACAAGCTGCCCCGCCAAAAGTATTACTACTGGATTGGCCTCAGGAAGGTGGAGGGACAGTGGACCTGGGTGGGGACCAAGAAGCCCCTGACTAAGGAAGCGGCAAACTGGGCAACAAATGAGCCTAATAACCGGCACACCAACGAGGACTGTGTGGAGATCTACATCAAGAGGGAAAAGGACACGGCCATGTGGAACGACGAGAAGTGCAGCAACCTCAAAGTACCGCTCTGTTATAAAGGTAATACTTATAGGTTAAAAAAAACTCAGCCCTCATTAACCCATATGCAAAAGAAATATATTTACTTATTTTTTTTATTTTATATAATTCCAAAATATACACATTTCTGGCAGATATGTAAATATTAAAAATGGACATCATTACATATATTTTTTTGACATATATGTACATATATTCACAACTAACCTAGCCTAAAGACCAGGCTCATAAACTAACTGGATCTAGTCACATGATACATAAAACAGGTGAAGAACATCAAAAGTCAGGGGAAGCTGATCTCTGATGGATGGAACCTGCTGACCTTGATGTCACATGTTCACCTTGAGGGTTCTGGGAATCGTAGTCCTGAGAGTCATGGCTAGAGGGATGTGTGACAATATGTCGATATATTGGCATCTATGTAAAAACTAAAAATGGCACATAGTCTCATCTGAGTGGGGTGTGAACACTTTCACACAAGGAACATTAGGAACATGAATGTTAACGACTATTCAATAACATAAAGCATAACATGAATAACATAAAAACTTGATTGATAACCGAAATTAAATTTCATTGTCACTTGTCAAGACACGGTACACAATGTAGCACATATATTTTAAATACAAGGGAATATTTATACCTATATTTCTATTTGTTTGGAATTTTGGTGATAAGCCATTACATATGTTGACATATATTGCCATACATTTTGAATGTAAAGAAATATATGTGTAGACATTTTTCTATATTTGTCATTTTGATGCTATGGCATTACATATATTGACAAACAGTGCTGTGAAAAAGTATTTGCCCCTTCCAAATTTCTTCTATTTTGCATATTTGTCACACTTGAATGTTTCAGTTTATCAAACTACTTTTAATATTAGACAAAGAAAACCCAAGTAAACACAAACTTTAATTTTTTTAAATGATGATTTCATTTATTTATTGTGTGTGTGCAGTGTCCTGTTTAAATACATCATGCAGTGAACATGCTGAGTGTGTGGAAACCATCAACAACTACACATGCAACTGTGACCCGGGCTTCACTGGTCCTCGCTGTGAGGGAGGTACAGCAGTGGCTAAAATACTGAATGGGCAAAAATCTACACTGCAAAAGCTGCTTGTTTCTTATTTGTTGTTTTTGTTATATCACAAGAACTAAAATATTTTCATATATGAGACTACAGCAGTTTAGTCCCACCCACTCACACTTAAATTATTGAGTATTAGTGGTGTTTCAGTCCAGACTGCTTTTTTATTGAGGCAGTGGGGGTGAAAATATAGCATACAGGCTATTTAATGTAGGACATTTGCAGCATGTGTGAAGAAATAATTAGTGCAAACACGATCCTTTACATGTTACTGTCAGTTTCTAGTCTGACGCATTGCAGCCCTTGAACCTGTTATGTCCATTTATTACACATTTCTCTGTGTGGATCCACAGCTGTACAGTGTTCGTCTATCTCTGGAAACTCCAGTGGGTGGAGTATGAAGTGCAGCCATCCCATCTCCACAAACAGCTACAGCTCCACCTGCACATTCAGCTGTGAGGAGGGCTTTGAGCTGAGAGGCTCAAACACAACCCAATGTGATCACACTGGACAGTGGACACACAAGACCCCCACCTGCTCAGGTACTAATACATCTACTACTGCAGATGTTTGCAATATTTGTGCCCTGTAAATAACAATAAAGGGGAATTTTACAGATTTTTATTAAATTCTGCATGAATAAATGGTTATATGGAGTATAAATGGAGTTCGATGTGAAATACCTCATTAGGCAAGTTGTTATATGAAGTGGTTATGAATATGTTGCTTGATACCTACATTGTTTCATGATAGTTTTGAGATAAAGTTTTGCTTAAAATGTTTTTTTTTTATTAATTCATGGTGGAGAGGAACAAGCAGGGTGACAATATAGTCCGCAAAATAGGTTTTACTTTAGATCAGCACTACCATCATCAACATTACATTACATGCCTTGTGACCAGAAAGTCGCCGGGTTTGATCCCCCGAGCCGACAGTATGTAACCGAAGTGCCCTTGAGCAAGACACCTAACCCCCAACTGCTCCCCGGGTGCTATGGATAGGGCTGCATACCACTCTGGGCAAGTGTGCTCACTGCCCCCTAGTGTGTGTGTTCACTAGTATGTATGTATGTAAGTGGGTGTTTCACTGCACGGATGGGTAAAATTAGGAGGTCTTATTCCTCTGTGTGCAAACACAGTTGGTCAATGGTTCTAAATTATAAAAAATATATAAATTAAAATAAATTATAAAATCACTGGTGGTTTTGGATAATAAATAAAATAGCAATATTTGCGTCACAGACTATGGAACCTCTGGTTCCCATCACAACCACTTGAAATTTGAGTCAGTATGTTTCTCTAAATATTTTTTTTTCTTGAATTACTTATCTCAAAATAATTTTCTCATGATAATTACCATGAGACAATTATCTCAAGATATATAGAGAAAACTTAAGCATATTCTCCACTCTGCCCTGTAGATAGCTGTGTATCCAAGAATGTAATTATTTTAAGGGACACTGACCGCTATATAGCCCTGCGATGGACTGGCGACCTGTCCAGGGTGTATCCTGCCTTCCACCCAAGGACAGCTGGGATAGGCTCCAGCACTCCACCGCGACCCAGAAGGATAAGCGGTTTAGATGATGTATGTATGTATGTATGTATGTATGTATGTATGTATGTATGACCGCTATAGAGCACTTTATTTTAAACTCCTCTCAAATGCAAATTGATAAACCTGTATATCAAAAAATATGCATCCACCTATAGCCACTACGTTGTCCAGAAAGCTGTAGCTGCTTCAATACTTTGGATATATTTATGTAACCCTTCCTCCCAATCAGTCTGCTGCATTTTTAAACATGTTTCAAATGGAGCTATGATATAATATGATGTCTGTTGGCGAGCACTGAAACAGTGTTTCTGTATTTGAGACCAAGCTCAAAATGAAGTGCTATATAGCGATCAATGTCCATTAGAATAGCTCCGATCACAGATACACAACTTCCAGCATCCCTGAAAACAATGGACAGTGGGCTTACAGAGATAATAGAGAATGGAATGCTGCCAATGGTGAATTGGTGCCATCTACAGGATGGATGGGGAACACACACACACACACACACACACACACACACACATTTTCTAAGCCGCTTATCCTTCTGGGTTGCGTGTGGAATATGCTTTTCATTATAGCTTTAGATAATAATAATTCAAAATGAGCGGCTTTCCGGCTTATTTACCATATATGGACTGTATGGACTGAGGCATGTGTAGTTTGTTCAAAACATACCATTCACCACCCTGTCCATGCAGTCTATATATTGAAACCAAGCTGCAAAAATTTATTGTTTCCATGATGTTATGAGAACCAACCTATTTACATAAATAGTAGCAGTCAGAACAAAAGTTTTTATCTCCAAATTTGTTGTTTTTCTCCCTATTTTAACATAATTTAAAAATGCCAGTCACTCCATAGAAATAGTCAAAGATTACTTGCAATTAATCTTGTTATATTAACTTACATACAAACGTTAAGAATGTTTCTTCCTTCTGTAAAGTTGTTATTTAGAGATATGAGTTTTACACCTATGCAGCCTATAGCAGTTTAGTTTATCTCTACTTTTCATACATTTCTCTGTGTGGATCCACAGCTGTACAGTGTTCGTCTATCTCTGGAAACTCCAGTGGGTGGAGTATGAACTGCAGCCATCCCATCTCCACAAACAGCTACAACTCCACCTGCACATTCAGCTGTGAGGAGGGCTTTGAGCTGGTGGGATCACTCACAACCCAATGTGATCACACTGGACAGTGGACACACAAGACCCCCACCTGCACAGGTACTAATACATCTACCACTGCAGATGTTTGCAACAATTGTGCCCTATAAAGAACATTAAAGGGGTACTTTACATATTTTAAAAACAATCAATACATTGTTCAATAAATTGTTAAGATCTAAAAAGTGTCAATTTGTCACTCAGAATTGCTGGGAAATAACCAAATAAGACTTTGTAAGATGGGTTTGTGTGCTCTGAGTTCAAATGCTGAACAAAATTACAGGCATGTAATGGGTTACAGGCATGGGTTACATGGGTTACACCTAAGGTATGGCTATGTACGCCTCAGCCAGGTTATCGCCATGGCCCCCAGTTAGGTTATAGTCATGGGCCCCAGTGGGGTTAAGGTTGCATGCCCCAGTTAGGCTACAGATGTGGGCCCCAGTTGGGTTAAAGTTATTGGCCCCAGTTGGGTTAAAGTCATGGGCCCCAGTTGGGTTAAGGTTGTGGGCCCCAGTTGGGTTAAAGTTATTGGCCCCAGTTGGGTTAAAGTCATGGGCCCCAGTTGGGTTAAGGTTGTGGGCCCAGTTGGGTTAAAGTTACGGGCCCCAGTTGGGTTAGGGTTGTGTGCCCCAGTTGGGGTAAGTATGAGATGAATATAAATTTCAGGAAAACACAAATTTGGTAGCTTTTCTGCCAGTTTAAGTGAGCCCAGGAGTTCAGGGGGGAAACTGTATGAGGATCGCAGCCTATTTTATTGATTATGGTCGAGGTAACATTTTTTCTCTTCCAAAGTTTGGTTCTTCTCTTCAGTTTTTTGCGGCTTAGTTTCCATATACGGACTGTATGGAGTGGGGAGTGAACAGTATGTTTTGAAAATTTGGTAATGTGCAGACAGCAGACAATTTCTGCAGATGATCCTGTTTTATTCCTTGAGTTTACATTTTGTAGTTTAGATTCAAACTACTGGCAACCCTTCAAAAATAAGGAGTCAGCTGTTTATAATGTCTGTTTATATTATATGTGCTATAAACAAAGCCAGCTCTATCTTAAGGCCCTGCTAGTTGTGTGGAATATTAGCTGCTGATGGGTGCAACTTTCACTCACAGTGCCTTCCAGAAAAACAGGAACACCAACAATTCTCACTCTGTATGTTTTTCTAGAATGAAGCATTTTCACATTAAACCACTCTGAATGATCTTGTTCACATTTTACCGATCATTATGAACAAACATGTATACAGAAATTTTGAAAAATTAGTGGAATTCCTCTTTTAGTGAAAGTACGGGTACTGTATCAAAAACAGCTATAAGGGGAAGTACGGATCCAAAAACATACTTGAGTGAAAGTCTCAAAGAAATCGACATTTCAACATACTCAACTCAGCATCTGTTGGAGCTTCAAGGCTGTTAGAACAGCAAATTTTCATATCATTTGTTGAACACATTTTTTTTAAATGTGGAAAACAGTAAAAACTAGAAAGAACTTCTATGAGTAGGTGTGTCAAAACTTGAGGGGTAGTGTATGTGTCAGCAGGTGAAATTTGAACAAGCTGTAAATCAGTTCTGGAAAGCACAGTGTCTTTCTGGCCACCCGTCTTTGTGGGTGTGTTCCACTTTGCCCAAGAGTTACCAAGAAAGAACAGGTCCAATGTCAACACAAAAAAAACTAAGACCTCCCTTAGTTCCTCTAGCTACTTCCTCTTGTGCTGATTGCCCACAGGCTGTGGATGTCCACAGTGTTGATTTCCACTGTTTCAATAAAAAGCTATAAATATATAGCCATAATTCTTCATTCATAACTGTTTAAGGAAACAGCATAAGAACCATTAAGCAGAGGACAATTAAAGCTGTATCTGCCTTTAAAACTAGGCTCATTTTTCCTGGATTGAGGATTTGTCAAGTGAAAGGAAATACTGGCAATGACTTGGACTGCATTTTGATTGGGATCAAAACGATTCTTAGAGAGGGATTTACTGCTTTCCGTAGTATAAGTGTCACTGCAGCCGACAGTATGTTGAAAGCACTAATTTTGATGACCGTTCTGCTCTGGCCTGGACTTTTCCGGCACCTGTTGCTGGCGCTAATGGACTGGATATGGCCCCAGCATACTGAACTCAGAGCAGAGCTACACAAGACATTTCAGGGGTAGGATTCAGTGTCAGTGATGCTTTCCATTCGAAAGACTTGGATCACAAAGTTGGCATGAAAAAGTCAACTTAGAGTTCTTCGCATTCTTCTTATTATTATTAAAAATTCACAAAAATATTCCCCTCCTACAGCTTTAAAGCTCAACCACAAAGCTTTCCGCAGGACTGTAGAACCTATGTCCTATGCAGTGTTCATACAGCATTAGTTTAGACACACTTTTTTTTCCATATCACTGAATAGAACTCTTTCATAGGTTCCCTTAATGTATCATATGATGTATCATATAAAGAACTGAACAATGGGCCCTGAGAACACATGTAAGCTCCCCCAGCCGTCAGCGCTCTGCAAACTGCGTACCTAAATCGTCACACACTTCCATTAAATCATGTTGAGTTGTTAATAATAAGTTGTTAATAATAAACTGTTTATTAAGATCTCAAATAAACACACTTATATGGTTTCTGACACTGCATGACAGACTTTTCTATGAAATGGATAAAGAAAATTTAAAAAGGCTGAATTCAACATGGCTGTTGTTGTTCTGTATTGTTCTTTGTCCTGTAGCTGTACCATGTAAGACGCCCTCTGTGCTTGGTGAAGGAAAAATGAACTGCTTTAAAGGCAACAGCACTTTCTGCACAGTGGAGTGCTCCCCTGGTCACCTGCTGCTGGGCACTCGGAAACACACCTGCCAACGTGACGGCTTATGGAGTGACCTCCGACCGCTGTGTATAAGTGAGAACGCAACCGAACTACTCAGAATTCATGATGGTGTCAAGTTTACATTGCAGGGTTTAGAACATTTCAGTACTTACGTCCCCGATTCCCAGTGCCACACACTCTTAAAAATGAAGCTGCCAAAAGGGATCTTCAGAGTGATACCATAGAACAGTGGTTCCAAATCTTGGTCTTTGGGTGCCACTATTCTTCACATTTTAGAGTTTCTTCTCCTCAAACACTCAACAAATTATCAAATAACTGTAAAATTTAAAGCACCTCCACAAAATGTAAAGGTTCTTTACCAACTGAAAGTGTTCCCAGAACCGCACATCTGAGCCAAGAACCATTTAGTAACCTTTAAAAGTATATCCTAGTACTATAGTGAAGTCTACTCTTGAGTCAAGTGTCAAAACAAGGCCGAGACCAGATTAAGATTTTTTCAGAATATGAAGATAAAAAGAGGAAAGGTGGAAAACTGAAGTTCATTTGTAGTTTCATCATTATACATGATGTATATTAATAAGTATATATATATAACAGATTTTGTCATATACTTTGTAAAATAACATTAAGTAATGCGTAGCCTAGAATATTCTTAATTATTATTATATGATATTACAGTCTTAGTCCAACATTGCATTGTAACTTTTGAAAGCAGATGATGGTGAGGTTCTTCTCTGTCCCGTCTTCACTATTCAGAATCACCACCTAAAGTCAAATGAATGTAAAACAAACAACATCCATTTTGAATGTTATATTAAAACATATAATATTGATAACATTCTAATCTGTTCCCAGAGGATGAACCAATAAACATTAAAACACAAAACAATAGTCAGTTTATTCATCATGGAAAGATCAATTAGATCCTCAACCAGCAGTGAGTAGATTTCATTTAAACATGTAGAAAAAGCACCATTTTATTTCATTGAATAATGATGGAAAACTGTTCAAGAAGAATTTCTGAGTCTGCTTTACCCCGAGACAGAGACAAGACGAGTCCAAACGATGTTGAGAATGATGTTTTTTTGGGGTCCAATTTCCTCCTCATTTCAGTTCTATCCAGTTCCACCCACTAGTTAGGGTCACGATATCACCAGTGCTAGGAGGGCAAGGGCAAAAAAGCTTCCAAGACATATGAAGGCAGGAACTGGACGCCAGCCACTGGATGTTTTTGAACTGCTGCTCAGCAACGTCATTGGAGAGTTGAACACGCTTGGAGGAAAACACTAACCGCCAATTCTGTTATGTCTGCTAACAGACTGGGGGAGAGGAAAGGCCAAGCTACCCACCCAGAGAGAGCCACGGATGGCTGTAGCATCACCGGGGACTGAACTCGTGATCTCCTGAAGATGGGGCCGACGCTTAGACTGAGGCTGTTAATTTACACTCTCGAGACAGAGACCAGATTTGAGCACTACACTAGAATACACTGCATCTTTTGCATTTTGCCAGATCAAACTCACTCGAATCCAAGAATCCCAGAATCACCAGCTCCTGAAGGATCTGCTAACTAGAGATCAATGAGGTGTGTTAGATTAGCGAAAGGTTAGATAGGGAGAATCTAACAATGAGGGCAGTATACTCCTGTACTACCTCGGCTTAAAATAGCGTAGAATATTTGTCTTTTAGAAAATTAAGGTAAAGGTTTTGGAACCATTTTCCTACTGCAAACTCACCAGAATCAACTCCTGAAGGACTTAACAAATATTAGATGTGGACCAGGTGTGTTAGGCTACGTTTACACAGCAGGTAAAAGTGGCCCAAATCTGATTGATCTGATGATCTGTATGCAACATCAGTCTGAACAGATCAGCTCCTAAAGTGACCCACATGCCCCAAAGAACAATGCTTCACAAAACAATCATAACTATGAACAAACAGTTTGAGCGTCATCTTCGCCAGCATCACAGTAGCGGCCATGAAGTTCCGATGGCTGACAGCTGAGCTCATCATCCAGAATGTGTTCGAGCATGTTATTCGGCCACGGTCACTTCTTTGGTTCGCGTTCTCGAATTCTTTAAACTATTCTTCGACACTGCAGCCTCGGTCTCCTCCGGCCGCTTCTTTCGAAACCTCTTTGAACACGGAGTGGTTTGATAAGTCTCTTCTATTTTTTTAGTACAGAAACATCAACCTAAATGTTTTTTGAGTCTCAGCAGAAGACAGCATGAAATCCGATCTGGCTGTTCAGACTGAGTCGCATTGCTGCATATCTGATACGGATCGGATTTCAGTGCCACTTGAGAAAGCTTCTCAAATCGGAATTGAAAATGTCCGATTCCTACTCAGATCCAAACTTGACAGGTGATGTGCGCACTCAGATTTGAATGGGAGGACTGAATGGAAACATTGCAGTGTTGTTCTGCGCTTGGTTCTCCGCAGGTTACGGCCATTTGTTACTGGTTTCGATGGTGTGCAGTGTCCTTTCAACAATCGGCTACTTTATACTCTGCGGTTTGCTTTGCAGAAAGAGTGAGTATGTTGTTTATTGTTATGCGGCAACATTTAACACTTGTGTGGTGCTCGATGTGGGACCCATTTTCAATGTTTACCAAAGAAAAAAATTATGTGATTTATTATTATTTCAACCCCAGATTCTTGGCCTTTGCTCATTTTCTGTGAAGAACATATAAAATAACCCATTTTCAGTGTCTTCACTCTGTTCACCCCCCACACATTTATATTACACATGTGGTGTTGGGTGAGTTGGGAGTAAAAGTGTGGAGGTGCTGTGTCCTTCACTCTGTTCTCCTCCTACATGGCCTGCTGTTAGTGTGTGTGTGTCTGTGAGTATGTGTTTCTATGTGTGTGTGTGTGTGTGTGAGGGTGGACAACCTGGACAGGCTGCTGACTGGCTACAGCTGCTAAAGGAGAACCCTACGCTGGACACTTGTGATATTTTAAACATGGTGTTTTTACATAAATTGTTATGGCTGTGCAATAATGAACAATAACAATAATGTGGTGGGTCCACCACCACTGAGTAACAAACACATCAACACCACACAAGGGTTAGGAATACTGCTATTTACATTGTTATAATGATTTGAATAACAATCATCTCCTATTTAATGTTGCAGGAAAAAAGACAATCAGAAGGTAAAACATGATTTTTTTGACATTTCATTTCAGCTTCTGTGGAATCTTTAAGGGTCAGTTTATATCTTGCATTAACATGTGTTTTCAGTGATCTGATCACATTCAGATTTCACTTTACCTCATGAAAAGCCAGGCCTGGATCATCAAGTTTTATGGACAGGTGCCTGGGGGCCCGTGCCACTAGGGGGCCCCTGTGGGCAATTATGGCAACATCTAAACCGCGGTTTTGATTTGTGGTTTGAACATTACTAGCAGCACAAAAAATCTATGCCGGCTGTGGCAGTATGCTTTAGCTTACGATGCTTGATGGCTTCGTTTTTAAGGTTTTCTGGTGTTTTCTTCATCTTTGTCATGTACATCTCAGCTTTCTGATTTTAATTGATGCTTTAAGTGAGTGTTGCTTTTGTTGCTGGGTTTATGTTATCTTTGTGCCTTGTTATTGCGTGCAGGATCTTGCTTTATTGTTTGTCTTGTACCACTATACAGTGTTGGATGGTATGGTAACCGCACTGATGTGTCAGTAATAGGCTGTAAACTCATATGATGTCATATATGCAGCTGTATGCGACCAGGGCAGGTCTGCATTCTCCCTGGATGGCATAAAAAAAAAAAATTCATATTTCATTCATAATTCAACAGAAAAATTTTATTCAAGAGGTTTGTTTCTAGACAAAAATATATGTTAAAAGCAGTAACATGCACATCGCCTTAGTTCATACACTGCCATTGTGATGTTGCACAGCCCTCATGTAACCTGCTGCATTATCAAAAATAAATCCTTGACAACTACAAAGGAAGCTTATATAGAGACCCACCAAACTTTTATACCCAGGGGCGCTTTAACATGGTGATCCTGGTAAACACTCCCAGGATGCACAGTGTTCGGCTTATAATTGGACCACTCTAACCATACTCAGAGCTGGTCAGAGACGGATCTTGACCACATTTAACCCAAGTGTCAACGGAAATGTGTCTGCCGAGTGTTGAGTAACAGGTGGGAGAATAAACAAAGAAACAAAAGATGGAGGGTATGTGAGGCTCGAGTTCCCCAAACCAGTCTTCTTGCGATCCAGGCAGATGAAAGCTTCCAAGCTGAGCTTCTCAGCTCATATCGAAATCGAGAAAAAGAAAAAATTAAAATGGAAACATAGTGTTGACGTTTTTTACCTGGGGAAAAGTACAGTCAGATCTCATCAGTTCACACTGGGGACTCATTTTAGTGAAAAGTGTAAATGAAAACCAGATAGAATCTGGATACAGAACACATGTTAACGCAAGGTGTAAACAAGATCATAAATAATATGATCACAATGTGCTCTAATTATAACGCTTAAAACTGATCAGATTTTTTCCTCTCCATGAATCAGAATTGAGGAGGCAGTGATGAATCCAGCATATGAAGCAGGAGATGTGGTGCTGGAAGATTAGGAAGTGTGTGATGCTTAAGTCACCACTTCATTCTACTCTTGAAAGCTGCTATTTTACGGATTGAAGATTCTGATGTACAATGTACACACAGGTTTCAAAGCATACCAGTGTCAATCCATAAAGTCCATATATGGAAACTTTGAAACTCCTGGGCAGGTCAACATTACCCCTGGATGACATCAAATAAATAATTATATTACATATTAAACTGAAAAATTTCATTAAAGAGGTTTGTTTCCAGACATGTGGTGTGATGTCATCTCTAACACTGAACTGAGCAGTCAGCCCAGAATACTTTTTGAGTGAAGCAAAATAAGTAAGCTGATCATAACAGAAGCCATTTACATACAGTGGGGTCCAAATGTCTGAGATCAACTTCAAGTGAAATAAAATCATCTGAGCGGGCTTTGTAACGTGTGTCCTTGCGCATGGAGATTCCCTTCTTACAGACAGAGATGACCATCCCACTCTCTCATATAACATGCAGAGATGAGTCCTGTATTGATCTCCAGAGCAGAGTGATAAAGAGGGTCCAGAGCTTTCAGAGAGCTCGCTGAGGCATTTCTGTACAGCACTTCACCGAAATCAAGAACAGACAGGGAAGTTGCCTCCACAATGGTTTTCCTGCTGTGCATAGGGAAACATATGGAAACACAGGGAAACAAAAACATAGGGAAACATAAAAAATGCAAACAACAACTAATAATGTTTCATAAATTGTCAACCAGTGTAAATATCTCCTACTGAATGTTCAAATATGTTTTAAACGAAAAGAAAATCCAATGAAAAACCAGTGTGAGATGCATGTTCCAGTACTGAATCTTCTCAACACTGATTTCTTGTCTACTTTCATTATGGGTGGGACGCACGGCGAAAAATGCTTTATCATGCCACATTTCAGGCTGTCAGACAGACAGTTGCCCAGCAAAGTTCACTTCTCAATGCATGAGTCAATTTCTAATTTTTGACTGTACTGGTTTGTGTAACATTAACTTATGTTACCTTGTTTATATTGTAGGTACAGTGGGATGTGTGTGACTTAAAAAATTGTTAAAAATTGTGAAATAGCTAATCGTTCCAGTTCTGCCTAATTGCCTTTTGTAAGTATTAAAGCACAAACATTAAAGCTCACTTAAAACCTAGAGAATCTGATGGTCGAGGGCCCCTGGGAACGTGCCCAGTAGACCCGTTTGATCATTTGTCCCTGGTCATTAATTACATTACTATTTAAGCTTTCTTATTTCAGGATTGTTTTGCATATGAACTGGTAAAAAAGCTCTCATCAATAAACATTTTGGTTAAATTTTGTATTTAATTCAAGTTTCATTGAAAGCTTCATTACACGTTTTATTACAAAACACATAAATGCCAAATTTGTACTTTTCTAAGCAAAGAAACTCAATTATTATGTATTTTTATACCCTTATTTTGTAAGAAGACTGGGACTTTAAAGGTTTAGGAAGACGCAATACCCAGTGCTTAATGGTTTGGGATGAATATATACAACTCTGATTCCAAAAAAGTTGGGACGCTGTGTAAAATATACGCACACACATTTTCTAAGCTGCGTATCATTCTGGGTCGCAGGGGGAGCTGGAGCCTATTCCAGCAGTCATTGGAAGGAAGGCAGGATTGTGTAAAATGTAAATAAATGTGAATTAAAACAGAATACAATGATTTGCAAATCTAATAGACCCACATTTTATTCACAATAGAACACAGAACACATATCAGATGTTGAAAGTGAGACATTTTACCATTTCATGAAAAACATTAACTCATTTAGAGCTTGATGGCAGCAACGCATCTCAAAAAAGTCGGGACAGGGGCAACAAAAGGAAAAGTAAGTGCTACTAATACAAACTGCTGAAGGAGCAATTTGCAACTAACCCACATGACCGGATATAAAAACTGACCAGACCTGTATGAGGTCTGGTGTGCCTGGATATGCTCCAATAATGATGGATAATGATGAATAAAGACAAAAAGCCAAATTCACTTTTTGATGTTATGTTTTTGCTAATGACATTTTACTTCAGTTTGACCATGGACAAGGTCACAGTTGGTGACACAGCACTCTCACAACACTGTGTCTTGCATAATTTCCTAGTAGGTGTAGCACAGCTTGACACACCATGCACAACTGCAATCAAATAGATGAAATACAATTCACAGAGAGAGTCTCTTTCTCAGAACTTTTGATCTGGGGATGCTGTTAAGGTAAGCTATTCACTCATTTTACGGTAAAAGATTTCCTTGCCAGGAAAAATCTTGAAGATTTTTGCAGTAAAGAAAACCTGACTCCACTCTCATTTGAGGAAAATATGGATGTTTTTTTTAACAACAGAATACTGTGAATGACTGACACTGTAAAATTACAGAATATCACTGGTGGCAAAGCTGTAACTGATATTATTAATCATTTATAGCATTAAAAATACAGCATACAGTGAATTAACTGAACTTTTTGACAGCTCTGCTATAAAATGTCCAACAATATTCCACTACTGCAAACAGAGTCAGCAGCTGTAATTTGCATTTCTTTGCTGCCTGATAGCTTTTTAATTCTTTATAGTTGTTAATTTGTGCATTTACATCTGTAAACTAAATGTTTACAAAACTAACTTTACACCCAGACTCACATACAGTTCTCCTGACTTGCTTCTTGTCCATCAGATGGTTTTTATGAAGCATATGTGGCTGTATTTTGGATGGCTGGCTGTAACGATCATGGTTCATAATGGTACAGTATGTTCTTCCTTTATGTAAGAGTAGCAAATTTTTGTCCTGATTATTTTGAAATATATTACCTGGTTCTTGGTTACTTGAAGATTAGTTTACTAAAGACATCTTTGCGCATGTCTTTATTTATCACTTATTCAGTCGTTAATCTTAAGACTTAAAGAAACAGTCTGGCAAATACATAATTTACACAAATTTCCTCTTAGTCCATCAGCCAAGACATGTTTGGTGTCTTAAGTTTGTTTCTTTAATTTTGCACAAGAGCTGCGAGGCTAATTTAAGGAACCAGTTGTTTGTTACCCCACAGCATTCTGGGAGAGCATGCAGAAACTTTCATACATTTTCCTCGAAACATGTTGAGTTGAATAACCTCTATTTCAGATTCCTCATGTTTTAGCTGGTGTTGTAGTCAAGACCACTAGAGGCGAGTCTGAGTCAAGACCGAGACCAGATTATGATTTTTTTTTCTCAGAATATAAAAATAAAAAGGGGAAAGGGAAGAAACTGAATTCATTTGTAGTTCATCGTACATTCATTACATATTATATGTATGATATTTATAAATAATATTAATATATTAAAAATAATACTGTATTAATGATGGTGAGGTTATTTTTTGTCTCTTCAAACTTAGGCCAAAGTCACCACCTATAAATGATCACCTGAATAGAAACTAAACAAGATACAACTTTTTTTTATCATTAAATGAAAACATAATAATAATAATAATAATAATAATAATAATAATAATAATGTTTTACCCTCAGGGGATGTTTGAATATTAGAACTAGTGAACAACAACAACAACATTTATTTGTGTAGCACTTTTTATAACTAGTGTCGTCTCAAAGCAGCTTTACAGAAAAGCAGTTTATGGAAGGATCAAAAGAAGAAAAACAATTAAAAGGAAATAAAATAAAAATAAAAAGGAGTCCATGTAAGTGAGGAAGTAAGGAACTGAATCCGGGTCCAAGCCCCCCATGAACCAGCCAGAGGTGTCAGTGGCAAGAAAAACTCCCTAGAAGTAAGAGGAAGAAACCTCGAGAGGAACTGAGACTCAAGGAAGGAACCCATCCTCCTCTGGTCGACCTGGATGAAGAGAGAAAGACACAGCTAATGAGATTTTATGACAAGATACAACAAAGAAGCTTAGAGCATGAATGAGATCTCATAGGTTCTCTGTCAAAGTGAGAGATAGGGTTCATGATCAGTGCCAGATGCTGGTGGCTCCACTGTGGTAGTTCACAGTGGGTACATCAATTAATACTCAGTGAAGCATCATTGGAAGATCAATTAGATCCAGATTTTGAACATGTAGGGAAAGGACTGTTTTACTCTGTCTGAAGGTTTTGATGTTCAGTAACGACAGAAAAAAGTTACCTCAGACGGAGGCATTGCACTCGGCTGGTCTCGAGAACAATTTCCAAGTCCACCTGACGCCAAGACTGAGACAAGACCAGGTCCAAACGATATCCAGACTAAGCCAAGACAGACACCATTAAATTACAGTCTCAACATTTAAGTACTACAAATGTTGGACACATTAACCTTGTTGCTCCAGATCAAAGCACAAAAGCAAATTTTGGACACAAAAATATCTTGTTTGACTGACTGAATACATTTAGGGTAAGAAGAAATTTGTGTATACTTATTTTTTTGGTTGAACTATTCCTTGAAAATTCCATAAATACTATGAATATTATTCATAAGCTGTATAGTACAATGACGAACTGAAGTATGTGCCCATCTAGAGCACTTAGGGTTCAAGAGATACATTAACTGTAATAATGCAAATAATTCCTCAGACATTGAAACTGTAGATGGGTGTTTCTACAACTACAGGCAATTTTAGGCCCTGGCAGTCGATATTTGTACTTATACAACAGTTATTTCCCACCCCGCAAGCTGATTGGTTGAGAAGTGTTCTAACTGTGCTGTTATTTCGCCATAACAGCACGTTTTTTCCACAAACACTGTATCACTCCGTTGAGACGCCGTTGCTAAGCAACAAGTTTGACAGCTGTAGGAGACGCTCGAGCCATTTGAACGTTTTACTTCTTACTTTGCGCAAAAACAGAAAATGGATACTTTTCAGATCACATTTGACCGACAGCTGATTTGGTCAGACTCTGAAGATGAGACGACACTAAATTCCCAAACTGTCATCACCACTGAGCAGCTTTTCAGTCGGCAGCTGTGACAGAAGAACAGCTAAACAACCTGGAATCAGCCAGAAATGAACCCAACACCATTCGCCAAACTAAACGGGCTGTAAGATGCTTTACAGACTGGCTGGAACAAAACAACATTAATACTGATCTGGTAAAAACTGACAAAACTGAGCTGAACTTGATATTGCGGCAGTTTTATGACTCAGTCCGATTTAATCAGACCCTGAAGATCAGACTACACGTTTGGTGAATGGTGTTCGGTTCATTTCTGGCTGATTCCAGGTTGTTTAGCAGTTCTTCTGTCTCAGCTGCCGACTGAAAAGCTGCTCAATGGTGATGACAGTTTAGGAATTTAGTGTAAGGAGCTGGAGAACGAACTGCCGGCTGTGCAGCGAGTGGGCGGAGTTTGTTACTCTGACGTAGCAACGAGCTGCTTATTAAGGAACTATAATTTGGCAGAAGGAACTGCGAACATTAAAACATATTAAACGCCGCGTTCACGGCCCAGTTTATTAATTTATTACTTTATTTATTTAACTGTTGTATAAAAGCAATAGAGCACTCGAGGAGTGCGTTATCACGAATAACAGCCAAATCACAGCCGTCATGTTATTTTGTGACAACAAACTCCCTCTCGTGTTCTATTGCTTAAATAGATTAACATTTTTAGCATAACGCATACAGAGCTGTTTAACAGTGTCATAACCCTTTCAAATATGAACTGGCTTCTAAATTAACTGAGCTAATGTAATTTATAAAGCATATTTTTGGTCAAAATAGTGATTTTATTCATACCCCACAGCTGTGATTTCAGTCTCCACATTACTGAACTTAAAAGTGATATATTCTCAGTTGTAACTGCACTGTAGAAATATCATTAAATGAATACTGTTGTTGATCAGTCATTAATGTAATTCTTTACCCCTAAATATATCTGTCCCACATTCAGATATCCTTACTGCGACACTGAACAAATGACTTAAAATAATGTATAATAATAATTTTCAAAGCTAAACAAACCTATTTTTGATTGAAGCACAAGTTACTATCTAGGTGTCTCTGGATTTACAGACAAGCAAAGTAAACATCATCTTTTCATCCTCAGTATATTCTGCATGTTCTCACCATAGCTTTTATAACCATTATGATTTAAATTGGATTTAAAATTAAAAATCCATACGCATGTTCAGTTCAGATATATTAGAAGTTAACCTTAGCCAAAGCTAACTGGACGTGCTGTTTGTCATTTATCCTGAGAACATTTTAAAATGTCTTTCCCACAACATATACGTACTGCAACAGCACCAAAAGCACAGGTTACAGTAAAAACATTTTCACTGTTGTCCTGAAAATTTGGACAGACAAAACTGCCTGCAGTGGCAAAAACACCCAGGTATGGAGATGATTCAGCAGACATTGAAACAATGTCCTGAGAAAGCTCTAACACAGTCGATCACATGTCAAACAGAAGTCGAGGCCTGGACGTATCATTACCGGACAGACAGCAATATGGACTGGGAGACAGCTCGCCGGTGGTGCCAGCAGGATTACACAGACATGGTGGCCATCCAGAACAAGGAGGAGATCGCCTACCTGAACAACACGCTGCCCTACCATCCCCAATACTACTGGATCGGCATCAGGAAGGTGGAGGGACAGTGGACCTGGGTGGGGACCAAGAAGCCCCTGACTAAGGAAGCGGCAAACTGGGCAACAAAAGAGCCTAATAACCAGGGCAGTGGTGAGGACTGCGTGGAGATCTACATCAAGAGGGGAAAAGACACGGCCATGTGGAACGACGAGAGGTGCAGCAAAAAGAAAGCACCCCTCTGTTATAAAGGTAACGCTTTCAGATTATAAAAAAAAACTCTACCGTCTTTACATCCTGCTTTTGGCAAATTTAACCCATATGCAAAGGAAACACATCCAGATATTTATTTATATCATTCCAAATATACACTACATGAACAAAAGTATTGGGACACGCCTCTGAATCACTGAATTCGGGTGTTTGATTCGGTCTCATTGCCACAGGTGTATAAAATCAAGCACCTAGCCATGCAGTCTGCCTTTACACACATCTGTAAAGGAATGGGTCGCTCTAAAGAGATCAATGAATGTGAGCCGGATGCTGTAATAAGATGCCACCATTGCAACAAGTCAGATGGTGAAATTTCTTCCCTCCTAGATATTCCACAATTAACTGTGAGTGGTATTATTGAAAAATGGAAGCGTGTAGGAACCACAGCAACTCAGCCACAAAGCGTCAGACCACGTAAAGTTACAGAGCGGGTCACAGAGTGCTGAGGAGCATAGAGAGTAAAAGTCACCAAGGCTCTGCTGTTCAATAACTGCATGGAGTCTCCATGGCAGAGCAGCTGCACGCAAGCCTTACATCACCAAGCACAATGCCAAGCGTCAGACAGAGTGGTGTAAAGCGCCACCACTGGACTCTGGAGCAGTGGAAACGTATTCTGTGGAGTGACGAATCAGTCTGTCAGTCTGATGGACGAGTCTGGGTTTGGCGAGTGCCAGGTGGACGTTACCTGCCTGACTGCACTGTGCCAGCTGTAAAGTTTGGTGGAGGAGGGATAATGATATGGGACTGTTTTTCAGGGGTTGGTCTAGAACCCTTAGTTCCATTGAAGGGAAATCTTAATGCTTCAGCACCGAGACATTTTGGACAATCGTACACTTCCAGCTTTGTTTGAACAGTTTGGGGAAGAACCTTTCCTGTTCCAGCATGACTGAGCCCCAGTGCACAAAGCAGCTCCTTAAAGGCCTGACTGGGTGAGTTTGTTGTGGAAGAACTTGACTGGCCCTCACAGAGCCCTGACCTCAACCCCATCCAACACCTTTGGGATGAACTAGAACGGAGATTGTGAGGCAGGCCCTCTCGTCCAACATCAGTGTCTGACCTCATAAATGCTCTTCTGGATGAATGGGCAAAAATTCCCACAGACTCTCTCCAACATTTTGTAGCTTCCCAGAAGAGTGAAAGCTGTTAGAGCTGCAAAGGGGGACCAGCTCCATATTAATGCCTAAGGATTTAGAATGTGATTCATACAAGCGCCTGTAGGTGTCCCAATACTTTTGTCCATATAGTGTATTTACACATATTTATATATATATATATATGTACATATTAAACATGGACACCATTACATATTTAATCTATCTGTGTATATTTTTGCACATATTATATTAATATAAATGTTAATATATTGACATATATTTAAATGCTAAAACATTACACACAGTCCTGTATAAAGCAGGGCTTGAACCACTACACTATAACATAATGCATACCATAAATAACATAAAACATTCATTTATGTTATTTAATAAGACACTTGTCACTTTAATAGACATGACACACATTTGTCACATATATATTCGATAAGAGGAAATATATATACACATATTTTTCTATGTTTGAAATTTTGGTGCTAAGCCATTACATTGACATATATTTTGGATATGAAGAAATATATGTACATACGTTCTTCTACATTTTGCATTTTAGTGCTAGGACATCACATTTATTAGCATATATTACACATATATTTTGGATGTAAGGAAATTTATGCACATATGCTTTTCTACATGTGGCATTTTGGTACTAAGACATCACATATGTTGGCCTAGATTGCACATATATTCTAGATATTTGGAATTTTGATGCTGAGCCAATACATATTTTGAAATATACTGGAATACAATGCTGTGAAAAAGTATTTGCCCCTCACTTGATTTCTTCTATTTTTGCAAATTCATCAAGTTTTTCAGATGATCCAACAAATTTTAATATAAGATAAAAACAACATGAGTAAAGACAAAATGCACAGTTTAAATGATTATTCCATTTATTGAAGATAAAGATGTATTCAAAACCTATAACACTTGTGTGAAAAAGTAATTGCCCCCTAAACCTAATAACTGATTGTGCTGCCCTTGACAGTAACAACTGCAATCAAATGTTTGCAATAACTTGCAATATATCTTGCAATGAACAGTCTCTGTGCCCCACTGTTTGCGGAATTGTTTTAATTTGACTACATTGGAGGGTTTTCAAGCATGAACTGCCCATTTAAGGTCTTACTACAGCATCTCAATGGGATACACGTCAGGACTTTGACTTGGCCACTCCAAAACCTTAATTTTGTTTCTTTTGAGTCATTCAGAGGTGGACTTGCTTCAGATCATTGTCCTGCTGCAGCACCCAGCTGCGCTTTAGGTCATGAACTGATGGGCGGACATTCTCCTTCAGGATTTTCTAATGGATAGCAGAATTCATGGGTCCATGAAATATGACAAGTTGTCTAGGTCTTGCAGAAGCAAAGCAGCCTCAGACCATCACACTACCACCACCATGTTTGACTGTTGCTATGTTGTTCTTTGGTGGAATGTGTGTAATGAGACCCTTTGGTGAAAGTGTAATGAGACCCATGTCTTCCAAAACGTTCCACCTTTGACTCATCAGTCCACGGAATATTATCACAAAAGTCTTGGGGGTCGTCTAGATGTAGGCTCTGTGTTCTTTTTGGTCAGCAGTGGTTTGTGCTCTGCAGCTCCTTCATGGATGCCATTTTTGAACAGTGTCTTTCTTATTGTGGAATCGTGTACATTGATCTTAACTGAGGCAAGTGAGGCCTGCAGTTCTTTAGATGTCATTTGTGATCTCTTGGACGAGTTGTTGATGAGCTCTTGATGAAAATTTGGTTGTTCTGGCCACTCCTGGGAAGGTTCACCAATAGGTTTTCTCCATTTGTAGATAACGGCTCTCACTGTGGTCTGGAGTCCCAGAGCCTTAGCAATGGCTTTGTAACCCTTTCCAGATGGTAGATTTCAATGACTTTGTTTCTCATCTGTATTTGACTCTCTCTTGAACGTGGCATGATATGCGACTTTTTGAGACCTTCTTATCTGCTTCACATTGCCTGACAGGTTCTATTTAAGTGATGTTTAGATACAACAGGTCTGGCAGTGATCAGGCCTGGGTGTGGCTAGTGAAATCGAACCCAATAGTCCATTGACTTTGGTTAACTGGTTGATTTAGTAGCTAAGGGGGCAACTGCTTTTTCACACAGGGCCAGGTAGGGCGTCCTTCAATAAATAAAATCATCATTTAAAAATTGTATATTGTGTTAAGTTTGGTCATCTTTGTCTAATAATAAAAGCAATTCGATTATCTAAAACATCCAAGTGTGACAAATATATAAAAATAGAAGAAATTGTGAAGGGGCAAATACATTTTCACAGCACTGTGTATTCCGGATGTGAAGAAATATATGTACATTTTATTTTTCTACGTTTGACATTTTGGTGCTATGATTTCACACATATTGGTATATATTACATACATATTTTCGCTGTGAAGAAATAAATGTACAGACATTTCTGTTCCAATCCTTAAAAGCTGAAGTTATCAGAGGAGATAATCAAAGCATGTAATTTGATATTAAGTATTTATCACTCGTGGCTCTTTGAAACAAACAGAGAAATTCTGTGGACAGTGTATGATCTAAATTTTAAATTGATAGTGTGTTTATTTTACCTCTTGTATGTTGCATATACTTTATTATGTTTTGAATTTGATAAAAAAGTTTGTATGTTCTAATTTTACAAAAACAAACAATAAGGTCAGAAGTGAAGACTCATAACCTGTCGACACAGAATATGAATGTAATTAATTACGTAACTAAATATTTTAAAAAATATAAAATATTTAAAGCGACCAAAATAAAAAACTGCCCATCAGTTTGGCTTCTTTTCGCTATTTTCTTTAGGAATTAGTTTGACGACTGAGTTACAGTAATGCTAGACTGGTTGTGTTTATTAAATTTTTAGATCATTAGGATATCACTGCATTGCATAGGACAGGATGACATATAGGACTGGGTGACACCACAGGGATTCCCAGTGGTTGCATGATGTATTTGCACAATGCATGCTGTGTATTATAGTGAGGTCACTCTGATGAACAGTCCACATGGAAACAATATCAAATTGTAAATTCTGTATGGAATTTGAGAATTATATTATTTTTTATTACATTGAAATAACAGAGCCAATTGGCAGCTCTAAGAATGAAAGAACGCTAAGACTACTGAGAATTAAAGGGAGATTTGAAGATCAAAAACTCCAATTTGTTTTCCCACACAGTGATTAAGCCTAGTCCTGTACTACATTTACTTTTCTAAACAGATGTGTAAATGGTTGTGTGTATTGCGTATTGTGTGTGTGCAGCGTCCTGTTTTAATACGTCCTGCAGTGAACATGCCGAGTGTGTGGAAAACATCGGCAGCTACGTATGCAAGTGTGACCCGGGCTTCACTGGTCCCCGCTGTGAGGAAGGTACAGCAGTGGCATAAAAATCTTCACTGAGCCCATCATATAGACACTGACCAATTTCTTACCAATATACCTGACTAGTTAAGCTTCCATCAACAGCCAATTAATGTCTTATCCATGATAACCATTTTCAAACAGATCCTTCACAACCTGCAACATAATATATTCATTACTAAGAAATTTTAAAAGCTTAACTTTCTTTTGCACGATGTTGCCTCAGGGCAACAAAAATTCTCCTCACTTTATGATAACATTATACATATTTAAGGACACTGACAGGGTTAACAATAAAGGGCAGAGTTCGAGTAAGTCAGTAAAAAAGCACACATTTGGTCATACTGTCTCTTAGTGGGCGCTTTCAAACCTCTTTTTAACATTCAGTATCATTTTTCAGTTACGTGAAATTGCAAAAATATGTTTGTTGCCTAGAAGCAACATTGTGCGACAGTGGAATGGATTCAGCCTGTCACGAGCCAGATCTCACCACTTCAGGGAACATGGATCTATATCATTTCGTCCCATTGTCGCACAATGTTGCCACAAGGCAACATACCCCAAAACGACCCCTGCACAGATTATTATTTAAAAATGATTTGAATTCAATAATCAGGTCAATTTTATGCAAGAAAAGTGAATCGGATATATATTTTTAAATCGCCCTCATAATGTGTGCAGTAGAGGGTTAAAATATCAAAATTACTCAATTCAAAAGATATAAAAACATTTTATGTATATATTTTCTAATCAAAATGCTTATGTAGCAAGGTTTCTGGGAACCTATGATACCTTCTAATATAGCCAGTGACATATCAAGCAGCTAAATATGACTAAATATGAAAGTTTGGGTGACCCTTGTCAAATGGCATGTTTTGTTGACGTTCTAATTGAAAATAAGTTAAGATGTCCTCTACACAGCACACACTTCTGCATATTGTAATGCACAATTACTGTTTATTTGCTGAATTTAACATATCGGTGGAATTTTTAATGCACATTTAATATATTATTATTCATTTTCCCAATCCCAATATGTTCAATTCAGCACTTAAATAGAAGATATGAATAGAACTATGTCATATTTAAGTTTGTTTACTGCAGAGGATGTGCTAACTTGTTGTCATATATTTTATTATCCTTATATTTTCATACAAGAGATAGATATCAAAAGTGTGCGTGTGTTTGCCTGCTATAATCATTTTCTCTGCTTTTCAGCTGTACAGTGCAGGCCGCTCAGGCAACCAGTCCAGGGGTTTTTGCAGTGTAATCATGTTTATAAAGAGTTCCAGTTCAGTTCTTCCTGTCATTTCCACTGCGCTCGTGGATATACACTAATAGGTTCACAGAATCTGCACTGTCTGGAATCAGGGGACTGGAGCAGTGACCCTCCTGAGTGCCAGGGTACGAAATGACATAATTCCCACCACTGATAACATTGACATTGCAACCTTGTAGATTTACATGATTTCTGTTTGTAGTTAAAGACCTCAGAGGTTATGCATCATTTTGTAGTTTGTGATGTGCCTAATAAAAAAGTCATTTTTATTTATGGGATAAATCAACCCTGGATAAATTAGTCTGTAGTAGAATCAAAAAAAAGGTTTTAATGGTACAAGCCAGTATGTTTTGTTCTACATAAATTTTTCCACAGGATATTACATCAAAGTCCTCTGAATTTCATCATTCAGTAGTCAAAACATGAATATTATAACATACAGTACACACTACAACCAGACTAACTCTGCTGTGCATTTGACTGACGTCACTAAGTTACATGAAAGTAAGTAATATGCAAATCATTTAAAGCCTATAATTAATTGAAAACAGTACAGAGACAACACATCAAATGATGAAACGGAGAAATGTTATTGTTTTTTGAAAAATATGTGCCCATTTTGAATTTGAAGCCAACAACAAACAAAACAACAGTAACATGACTGGTTATGAAAAAGCATCCCAGAAAGGCTTTCAGAAGTAAAGAGGGGGAGGGGTTCACCACTCACAAATAGTGCAACAATTCAAGAAAAAAAATATGTTTCTCAACATAAAATAGCAAAGAACTTTTGCTTTTCATCATCTACGGTACATAATAATATTAAAAGATTCCAAAAATCTGAAGAAATCTCTGTATGCAAGGGACAAGGCCAAAAACCAGTATTTGCTGGCCGTGATCTTTGGGCCCTCAGATGGCACTGCATTAAAAACAGACATGATTTTCTAGAGGAAATCACTGCATGGGCTCAGAAACACTTCTGTAAACCACTGTCTGTGAACACAGTTTGTCGCTACATCCACAAATGCAAGTTAAAACTCTAAAACGCAAAAAAGAAACCAAATATAAACAGGATCCAGGAATGCTGCCACCTTCTCTGGGCCTGAGTTCATGTAAAATGGACTGAGGGGAAGTGGAAAAGTGTTCTGCGGTCCAACAAATCAACATTTGAAATGACTGGCACATCTGTGAAGGCACCATTAATGCTGAATGATATATACATGTTTTGGCCATCCAGACGACGTCTTTTTCAGGGAAGGCCTTGATTATTTCAGCAAGACAATGTCAAACCACATTCTGCACGTATTACAGCAGCATTGCTCTGTATTAAAAGAGTCCGGGTGCTAAACTGCCCTGCCTGCAGTCCAGACCTGTCACCACTGAAAACATTTGGCACATTAAGAAATGAAAAATACAACAAAGGAGACCCCGAAATGATGAGCAGCTGAAATTCTATATCAAACAAGAACGAGAAAACATTTCACTTTCAAAAGTACAGCAGTGTCTCCTCAGTTCCCAAAGCTTTCAGAGTGTTGTTAAATGAAGAGGTGATGAAACACAGTGGTAAACAGGCCCCCGTCCCAACTTTTTTGGAACGTGTTGTTGGCATCAAATTCAAAATGGGCACATATTTTTCAAAAAACAATAAAATTTCTCAGTTTCAACATTTGATATGTTGTCTTTGTAGTACTGTCCTTAAAAATATGGTTTAAATGATTTGCATATCATTGTATCCTATTTTTATTTACATTCTGCAGTGTCACAACTTTTTTGGAAATGGGGTTGTATATGTATTATATATATATATATATATATATACACACACACACACACACACACATTTACTACAGCATTTTTGAAAAATTAATTTTTCTCAAAATGAGGACATGTCCATAAATCCATAAAAGGTCTAATGTTTTTCTAAAATTGCAGCTGTTCAGTGTCCCCCGATTACTGTTGCCACTGGTGGGTGGAGCATGAACTGCAGCCATCCAATTAACACAAACAGCTACAACTCCACCTGCACATTCAGCTGCAAGGAGGGCTTTGAGCTGGTGGGATCACTCAACACCCAGTGTGATCACACTGGACAGTGGACACACAAGACCCCCACCTGCACAGGTACTAAAACAATTTGCTTGCATGTTAAAAATTATGCAACAAATGAGCTTTTATTACTGTTAATTTAGCTTCAGTGGCATATGTGGAAGTGCATTTAGTTCTCACAGTAAGTCTGGCAGAAAGGCAAAGCCTCTCCCTTCCTTTATTGCACAACAGCTTTAATAACATTGTGCAATATGACCAATTTTTTCAGGCCTTACACAATGACTGTGGAAATGTAGACAAAAAAAGCTGTGTTCTTGAGCGAAAGAAAAGTGACAGCAACATCCATTTGGTATTTGACCCAAGATGCATGGCCATTTGGTGCATGAGGTCTTCTGAAACCCCCTTGTGACCCCTGAAAAAGGTCAAAAGGCCTGCACTGACCCACTGGGGAAGTTCTTCAAAATAACTGTACATCATTCAGTCTCATTGTTCTATACCTCTGTATGCACTAATATCATAATGTCATTCCAGCTGTGTCTTGTAGCAGCCTGCTGATCCCTGCAAAGGGTCACATGACCTGTGATGATCCGCTGGGAAATTTCTCCTTCCGCTCAACCTGCACTGTTAGCTGCGAGGAAGGATACGAACTAAGAGGAGAGAACAGAATCACCTGCCTCAAGACCGGCAACTGGTCTGCATATACACCAACGTGTGAAGGTACAGTATTAATGTATGTAGTCCACGATAGTAACTGTGGTCCAACTCTTACAACAGACAATAACATTCTGTTCATCACAGCCTTATCAACAGCACTAAACACCATAGCATGACAAAACTGTCCAAACCCAACTGTAGCCTAATAAAACTCTGTACACTGATCAGGCATAACATAATGACCACCTCCTTGTTTCTACGCTCATTGTCCATTTTATCAGCTCCACTTACTATATAGGTGCACTTTGTAGTTCTACAGTTACAGACTGTAGTCCATCTGTTTCTCTGATACTTTGTTAGCCCCCTTTTACCCTGTTCTTCAGTGGTCAGGACCCCCATGGACCCTCACAGAGCAGGTACTATTTGTGTGGTGGATCATTCTCAGCACCGCAGTAACACTGATGTGGTGGTGTGTTAGTGTGTGTTACGCTGGTCTGAGTGGATCAGACACAGCAGTGCTGCTGGAAGTTTCTAAACACTGTGTCCACTCACTGTCCACTCTATTAGACACTCCCACCTTGTCAGTCCACCTTGTGGATGTAAAATCAGAGACGATAGCTCATCTGCTGCTGCACAGTTTGTGTTGGTCATCCTCTAGTCCTTCATCAGTGGTCACAGGACGCTGCCCACAGGACGCTGTTGGCTGGATATTTTTGGTTGATGGACTATTCTCAGTCCAGCAGTGACACTGAGGTGTTTAAATATTATAATTATAATATAATAATGTCTGATCCACTCGTACCAGCGCAACACATACTAACACAACACAACCACATCAGTGTTACTGCAGTGCTGAGAATGATACACCACCCAAATAGTACCTGCTCTGTGAGGGTCCATGGGGGTCCTGACCACTGAAGAACAGGGTAAAAGGGGGCTAATAAAGTATCAGAGAAACAGATGGACTACAGTCTGTAACTGTAGAACTACAAAGTGCACCTATATAGTAAGTGGAGCTGATAAAATGGACAATGAGCGTAGAACTCATAATGTTATGCCTGATCGGTGCACAACTCTAATTGTAACCTAATAAAACTCTGTCCAGTGAAACGCAGTCCGAACAGCATGGGAAATTCCAGGTGCACCTATATAGGAACTGTGGGTTGATGTCGATATCTACAAATTTTAATGTACATATCTGCCGATACCAAAATTAATTTATAAAATGAAGAAATTTCTGTGGGGTTAAAATGCAATAAGATTAATAAAATGCAGATATTTAGTCACAGAAGCTCAGCATCACCTATTTGTTCTGCTGGTTTGGAAAACAATAAATGCCTAATCAAATATTTGTTTTAAAATATCACTTAAATCTAAACCTCTGTCCAATACCACTATTTTTCTTTGAGCAAATATTTGCCAATATTTCAGATGATTCTGTCAAAATTGTATCACGAACCTCAGTGCAGCGCCTAACGGCAGTCCCTGTTGAGTCAGATGTCCGCTAAACAAATCTGAACCCAAACCATTTAAATATTTGAGAAATTATGTCTGAATACAACCAAACCCAACATGAAGAGTTGCGTCTTGCTTGGTTCAAATACTTCAAGCTTTAGTCCGCGAATGGTTAAACATTTCTGCAGTGCGTTTTTTGGACACAGAAACGTGTGGCTTTTTGTTGGTGCTGCACTGCTTACAGTGTCATCACACTGACACAACATGTAGGTATTCCCATTTGCTATATGTTGATGTCTTTGAAGTTTTAAGGTGCAGCCCACTGAAGTCTGTCCCTCATGGCTCACTGCACTGTATGGACCCTGTGAAAGAGTTCAGTTATGGCTCCACTTGCTGGATGGAATGTGACCTCGGTTTTCAGCTCACGAGAACAAACTTCACCCAATGCACCTCTCAGGGGAAGTGGAGCCAGAGTCTCTCAGTCTGTGAAGGTATCAACGGTCATGTTCCTCTACCGGTCTTTCACAACATATGTTAATGTTGGTGAATGACTAATGTATGTTAGTGTTAATGACTGACTTATGAATTCATTTCTCATGAGAATCATCCTGAGTGCGTTATTAGGAAGTTTGAAAAGTTGCTTTTGACGTTAAGGGGACAGATTTTAGCTTTGTTTTTACAACAGCGTCCACTGGATTTGTTTCTAAAATCTGATTTCTAAACTAAGTGTCCAAATTGGAAGTTACAAGACACCAAATCTGATTTGTATGGACATTAGTGCACTTCATAATTCACTCGCTTGCTCAAATCAGACAAAATAAGTCAGATGTTACGGTCAATAAGATTTGTGCTCTGCTTCATTAAAGGGCCCATATTATGGAAAATCGCATTTCCCTTACTTGTTTTCAAATACAAGTATTAGATGTAACATATAAGCATTGTTTTGAAACACACAATTCACTCCCCAGTCAATCAGCCCATACATGCATATTTCACCTCACCAACAGCTTGTTTTAATTAATTAAGTGTGTTTACATGCACTTTATAATCCGATCATAATCTGATTTCTGCAGTTATCCAATTATTCGAATGGTCATGTAAACGCCATACTCCGATCTAGAAATCTGATTAAGAAATCTTAATCAGAGGCTGGATTTTGAACTCATATCAGTGCATGTAAACTCTTACTCTGATTTCTTTCGGATTTCTCAGTCTGCGCATGTGCGAAAACAGACGGCGGTAGCAGAAATAAGTGAGCAGCGTCGCCACGAGATGGCAGCAAAACTAACTCCTGAAATTAAGGATTCAAATATTCTTAATCTTCTAGATGATGTTTGTTCATATTTTCAGGTAAAGTCGCACAATGTTTTAAAAAAATGCCGCGGCATGAAGGTTGAGGTTTACGTTATGTTTACGTCACGTCTTCTGTGAGTTTATTGGCTGGTTACCTACAGCAGTTTAGCCCCGCCCACTCACACTTATGTTACTGAGTAATAGTGGTGTTTCAGTCCAGACTGCCCTTTGATTGAGGCAGTGGGGGGGGGGGGGGGGGGGGGGGCTCTTTATGGGCTCTTTAATGTAGGGCGTTTTTGGCATGTCTGAATATTTAGTGCAAACACAATCCTTTACACCTCACTGTGAATTTCTACTACTGTGTCTGACACACTGCAGCCCTTGAACCTGTTGTCAATCTTTCATACATTTCTCTGTGTGGATCCACAGCTGCACAGTGTTCGCCTATCTCTGGAGACTCCAGTGGGTGGAGTCTGAACTGCAGCCATCCCATCTCCACAAACAGCTACAACTCCACCTGCACATTCAGCTGTGAGGAGGGCTTTGAGCTGAGAGGCTCAAACACAACCCAATGTGATCACACTGGACAGTGGACACACAAGACCCCCACCTGCACAGGTACTAATACATCTACCACTGCAGATGTTTGCAACAATTGTGCCCTATAAAGTATAAATAAAAACAAAATGCAATGATGTGCAAATGATTTAAACCCTATATTTAATTGAAAATAGTAACAACACATCAAAAGTTAAAACTGAGAAATTTCATTGTTTTTACAAAACTATAAGCTCGTTTTGAATTTGATGCCAACAACACGTGATCTTTGGGCCCTCAGGCAGCACTGCATTAACAACAGACATGATTCTGTAGAGGAAATCACTGCAAGGACTCAGAAACACCTCTGAAAAGCACTGTGAACACAGTTCGTCGCTGCATCCACAAATGCTTCAAAAAAAGTTCAAATTTAGAATTTTTTCATGGACATCATGGACACTGTGTCCTCTGGGCTGAAGACCACTCAGCTTGTTATCAGTGCACAGTTCAAAAGCCAGTATTCATGATGGTATAGGGGGGCATAGTGCACATGGCATGGGTGACGTGCACATCTGTGAAGGCACCATTAATGCTGAACGATATAGTCAGGTTTTGGCAACATATGCTGCCATCCAGATGACGTCTTTTTCAGGGAAGGCCTTGATTATTTCAGCAAGACAATGACAAACCACATTCTGCATGTATCACAACAGCATTGCTCTGTATTAAAAGAGTCCAGGTGCTAAACTGACCCTGCCTGCAGTCCAGACCTGTCACCACTGAAAACATTTGGTGCTTTATGAAATGAAAAATACGACAAAGGAGACCCTGAACTGATGAGCAGCTGAAATCCTGTATCAAACAAGAACAAGAAAACGTTTCACTTTCAAAAGTACAGCAGAGGAGATGAAACACAGTGGTAAACAGGCCCCCGTCCCAACTTTTTCGGAATGTGTTGTTGGCATCAAATTCAAAATGGGCATATATTTTTCAAAACACCATAAATTTCCCAGTTTCAACATTTGATTTGTTGTCTTTGTAGTATTTTCCTTTAAAAATATGTTTTACAAGATTTTCACATCATTGCATCTTATTTTTTTTCACATTCTGCACAGCATCCCAACTTTTTTGGAAATGGAGCTGCATATTAAGGGAACTTTAGAGATTTTTTATTAAATTCTGCATAAATAAATGGTTAAGACGTAAACATTGTCAGAGACACAGTTTCTCATTCTAGGGAAACTTACTGAGTCAGAATTATCCACAGGGGTGTTGATAGGAACTAGTTCTGAAGACCCACTTAAAAAAAAAAAATCCCTCTAAAAGCTTCCTCACAGAAAGCTATTATAAGAAATGGTTATGAATACACTGCCTGATACCTAAGACACTGGTTTATGATAGTTTTGTGATCAAGTTTTACCTAAAATGTTTTTTTTTTAATTAATTCATGGTGGAGAGGTACATGCAGGTTGAGAAAATAGTCAGCTAAATAGTTATTATTTTAGATTTAGCTCTATTTTACCATCATCAACATTACATATAAAAACTCAGAAGACACATGTGGGTTCACTGGTGGTTCTGGATAGTAACTAAAACGCCTACATTTGTGTCTCAGACTTTGGAACCCCTGGTTCCTATCCCCACCACTGTAAAGAAATGTGAGTTGGTGAGTGTCTCTATATTGAACCATTTCACATAAAACCTCTCTGAATGACTTTGTTTACATCTCAACCAATGAATTACGGAGAAATAAAACAGTGTAATTCCCCTTTAATAAGACAACTAGCTGTTAAATAGCCTCCAACTGCAGGTCAATCAAATAGGAGACTCTGAGAAGACTAAAGGATTTTATTAAAGGGCAGTAGGTTGTAGTAACATTTCTCCAGTGCTCATATCTTCCAGACGTGGTAAACGTTGTGTAGTGGGAGTGTCTTGAAGTGGGCGTGTCCTGTAATGGTACTGTTTTACATTCTTGCAGGGTTCAGGCCGACTTCAGCAACCGTAAACAAAGGCACTGAATCTACTTATTAAGTGAAACAAATGAATCTGCTTCACTAAACTAGTGGTTATTTGAGAGACTATGTGACTACATTCAGTTCCAAAGTCGAATATAACCACGTCTTTCTGAACCCAAGGCATCTGATACTGAGATGATAAGTAACATCAGCCCATTCATAACTGAACCTTTAGATATTAGGAAATTATTTTATTAAAGTGCCCATATCCTACATTTTTTCATATATTTTCTTTCCCCCCGAGATCCATGTATAACATAGATTTATGTAGCAAAATTACTCATAATTCATTTTACAGTTTTCATTATGATGTCTTTAAGACTGATATGTGTAAATGAGCTCTGTTCTGATTGGCTGCCTTGCATCGTGCGTAATTTAAAAAGCAGTCTAGACTGAAGCACCCGTTAAACTTCAGCATCAATGGGTGGGGCTAAACGTCTGTAGGCTGAGTAGGCGGATATATGCAAATGTGGTGGTTGGTTTTTTGTGACGTCACAAAGGCAGTGAATACAAAACAGGCTGTTTTAGCAGCTTAATTTCCATATATGGACCGTACGGCAGCGTAAGCAGTATGTTTTGAAACTTGAACACCGTTAAAGTGTTAAAGTTAAATTCTTTTTATTTTGAAAAACTACAAATGTAGAATGATTAGGTATCAAAATTAAACGACTGTAATATTTGTTTACTATGCTTATTATTACATTCTTTATTGTCTAATGAATTAAGTTTTCACTCTACTTCGAAGCAACTAATGTTCAAATTAGCCATGCACTGTGCAGCTGTGAGTGCTGGACCTTAAACCTCTGTAATGGTGTCTATTCCAGCTGTGACTTGTAAGCCCCTTGTGACCCCTGTGAGTAGCACTGTGAGCTGTGCTGATCCGCTGGGGAAGTTCTCCTTTCGTTCGTCGTGCACTGTGAGCTGTGAGGAAGGATACACGCTAAGAGGAGCGAACACACTCACGTGCCTCAAGACCGGAAACTGGACTGCAGAACCACCAACGTGTGAAGGTATTGTGTGTATTTACTGAGCCACTTCACCCTGCATAGTGCAGCAGTGCCTTTGTTTATAACTCTTAAAAGAGAACCTCAGAAGGGCCCATATCATGAAAAAAAATGATTTTGTTTTTGCATAAAGTTTGAGGTAATACGTAAACATTGTTAAATATTCTAAACGTCTCATTCAATATCCAGTCCATACAGTTCATTCAGACATTCCTGATTTTATTCCTTGAGTTTACATTTTGTGATTTTAATTCTAACTACTGGCAACACATGAAAAAGAAGTCAGAAGGTTACAGAAGTCTGCTATAAACAAGGCCAGCCCGGCTTCAAGGCCCCGCTAGTTTGGAATATTAGCTGCTGATGGGTCCAACTTTCACTCACTGTGCCTTCTGGAAAAACAGGAACGTTATCACCATTTGTCATTTAGAGCGTTTTCCCTTATCACCACACATTCAAGGCTGACATTTAGCCATCTGTGAACAGTTTTCAAGGACTGTAAATGGAGTAGTTACAAACAAAGGAAGACAGTTGGCTGTCAGTTGGTGCAGGTCCAGATAGAACTGATTGTTCTCTTATCACAAGGTCCATCATAACAGCACTTTAGTCACGGTACTCGTTTGTTGTGCTCTTTGGTAGAGGAATCATCCAACAAGGCCAAAGAGATGTTTCCCTCCTACACAGAAGCAGCTGAACGCTCTTAGTTAGACTAAAATTATCTTGAAGGTGAAGGTGAGTGAATAAGGTTGCTCAAGTGTTCTTCCATCAGTCTGGTCTAGATCTCTGGACGTCTTTCAGCAGAGTGCTATGTCTAGCTTGAATGGGCAGAGTGTCAAAAAAGTCAATGCACTGGTTGTCAAATATGTCCTTTTATCTGAGTTCAAGGCTAGCCACTGTGGTAATTTTGTAATCGGATGTCTGGACATCACTGCATTTTGTTTTTATTTTTATGTATGTGCAAATCATTTAAACCCTATATTACATTGAGAATTGTACAAAGACAACTTAACAAATGTTGAAACTGAGAATTTTAGAGTATATTTGCCCATTTTGAATTAGATGCCAACAACACATTCCAAAAAAGTTGGGACAGGGGCAACACAAGGCTGGTAAAGCTGTGTAAAAAAACACTTGGTGGTTGATTGGCAACAGGTCAGTAACACGATATGGGTATACAAAAGCATCCCAGAGTGGCTGAGTGTTTCAGAAGTAAAGATGAGGGGGGGTTCACCACTCTGTGAAAGACTGTGTGGGCAAATAGTGCAACAATTCAAGAACAACATAAAATAGCAAAGAACTTTTGCTTTTCATCATCTACTGTACATAATAACATTAAAAGATTCAGAGAATCTGGAAGAATCTCTGGAAAAGTGTCCGGTGGTCCGACAAATCAAAAATTAGAAATTTCTTTTGGAAATCATGGACACCATGGACAATCATGTGTCCTCCAAGCTAAAGACCACTCAGCTTGTTATCAGTGCACAGTTCAAAAGCCAGTATTCATGATGGTATAGGGGGGCATAAGTGCACATGGCATGGGTAATGTGCACATCTGTGAAGGCACCATTAATGCTGAACGATATATATATGTTTTGACAACATATGCTGCCATCCAGACGACGTCTTTTTCAGGGAAGGTCTTGATTATTTCAGCAAGATGATGCCAAACCATGTTCTGCATGTATTACAACAGCATAGCTCTGTATTAAAAGGGTCCAGGTGCTAAACTGACCTGTCTGCGGTCCAGACCTGTCACCACTGAGAACATTTGGCGCATGATGAAATGATAAATATGACAAAGGAGACCCCTTTTATCCGAGTTCAAGGCTAGTCACTGTAGTAATTTTGTAATCAGAAGTCTGGACAGGACATTTCTGCTGCACTTAAAAAAATGTGATCTATGTAATTTGATTAGAAATACCCAGGCGGTTTTGTACATGAAAAGGCTGTGGACTACAATAAATGACCTATTTATCTACCAGACTTACACTTTAAAAATGGCTTGTCAGTTTGGTACGTGGTAACAAGCTAGTTTTATTCAACTTAAATAAACTTTTTTTCCCTGAAAGTTTGAATCTGATTTGAATAGAAATAGCTCAATTGCTTGTGACCACATGAAGTAATTTTGGTAACACTTTCTATGAATGTCACCTTTGTAAGCATCTATAAACACATTTATAACGTTATAAAGCCTTCATACGGCATTATAAACATGATTATAAACATTTATAAAAATGAATTACACTGAATTACACTTTATAGCCATGTTTATTATACAATAATATAATTATTAATATAATGCATTATAAGTAGTGTTGATAACATATTATAATGTCAGTGCCAAAGAAGTCAGTCCCAGCTTGGAGAGCGTAAAGTAAAGACAAATACCAAGCTAACGGTGGTGTACATTACCTTTCCCACACTGGGTAAAACACTGATGGCAGCTCTAGTTTAAACTCTGACATTTGAAGCCTGTAATGTGCTTTATTGTGTATGTTTTAGTGTTTCAGTAAATCCTTCAGTAAATACTTCAACTTGAAGCCTCACTCTGAACACTGGAGGAGGCTTTAGTACAGTACACTTCACTTTACTTAGAGCGGACAAATACGACTTATGAGCTCTTATAATTTGTTATGATCAGTACTTATAATGTATTATGTTAACAATTCATAATGCATAATAAGCATGGCTATAACGTGTAATGCATTTTTATAAATATTTATAGCCTTATGAATGCATTATAAGATGTTATGAATGTGTTTATAGATGCTTACAAAGGTGACATGCATAGAAAGTGTTACCGTAATTTTTTATACTTTATACTTACTTAATTTGATACTTTGCTGTGGTAAAAAAAAAGGTAATGACATTGTGTTCCACCGCAATAATTTTGCCCTCCCTTGCAAATGTTGCGCAATCCCTCACAATAATTTTACATTCACTTTGTGAATGCGATGGATTTTCTGAGGGAATGCAAAAAGACTGAGGGATTTTTTTTTCTTCATGTCACTTTAAGGGCTCAGCATCGACATCGCTGGGTGCGTGTTTCCTTTAAAGAGATTGCTTCAACATGTTTTGCAACACCGTCGCAATTTTGTAAGAATTCTGTGAAAAGTTTTGTGAAAGTATTAAATGCTGATATACTGATGAAACGTTTTCGTTCTCTGAAAACGTCTGGCTCACTAGTAAAACACCCACCACAAAAACCACATCAACAAAAACACTTCAGCCTCACGAATACCTTTGAAATAGCTGCGTTCATGTAAAGAGCACTGTAGAACACACCATTCAGTCTCACTATTTCATGCCTAAGCAAGACCCTACAGCGAATAGTGAGGACAGCTGAGAAGATCATCGGGGTCTCTCTCCCCTCCATCATGAACATTTACCCCACACGCTGCATCCGCAAAGACACCAGCATTGTGGACGACCCCATCCATCCCTCACGTGGACATCTTTCCACTGCTGCCGTCTGGCAGAAGGTACCGGAGCAGCCGTACCATCACTGCCAGACACTGTGTCCACTCACTGTCCACTCTATTAGACACTCCTACCTTGTCAGTCCGCCTTGTAGATGTGAAGTCAGAGACGATAGCTCATCTGCTGCTGCACAGTGTGTGTTGGTCATCCTCTAGTCCTTCATCAGCGGTCACAGGACGCTGCCCACAGGACGCTGTTGGCTGGATATTTTTGGTGGGTGGACTATTCTCAGTCCAGCAGTGACACTGAGGTGTTTAAAAACTCCAGCAGCACTGCTGTGTCTGATCCTCTCAGACCAGCACAACACACACTAACACACCACCACCACGTCAGTGTTACTGCAGTGCTGAGAATGACCCACCACCCAAATAGTACCTGCTCTGTGAGGGTCCATGGGGGTCCTGATCCAGTTTAATGTTTGCACACTTACGTCTGTATGTTTTGCACTTCGTCTGTACTGACTTGACTTGACTTGAAGTACTCATGTCGTTCCAGCTGTGTCCTGTGGCTCCCTGCCAACCCTTGCGAATAGTCACATGACCTGCGCTGACCCGCTGGGAAAGTTCTCCTTCCGTTCGTCCTGCGTTGTGACCTGTGAGGAAGGATACACACTCAGAGGAGAGAACGTCCTCACCTGCATGGAGACCAGCAACTGGTCTGCAGACACACCAACGTGTGAAGGTACAGTATTAATGCGTGTAGTTTATAACTGTAGTTACTACTTCTACATCCCTCACGCTGAAAACACTTCGTTTATGAATTCTCAGTCATGGCTTGTTGAAAGAAGCGGAAACGAATGTCTGTCGAAAGCGTAGATTCTAAACTTTTAACAGAAGCCACATTTGTGTTCATAAGTAGTAGATGTTTTATTCTGATTTTGAAAGTGAAACGTTATGGTTGTGTATACAGTCGTGTTGTGCAGAAAGACAAATCATCCTTAAACTCAACGTTGAGTGGAAATCATAATGCATTTTCATTCCATACTGTGACGTACTGCATTTTCGAACACGATATTATAGATTAATATTGTTTTCCACGCCCACTAGTGCACGGTGACATAATCAAACATCACATGACGTTTACAGTCAGACAAAAGTTCTTAAAATTTAACAGACAATTTAAAGAAAAAACAAAACAAGAATTTTGTTGTTTAAATGAAATGATGAATCGGTAACACTTCACTGTAGGTGCTGTTCATAAGGCTACATGACACCTACATCAGCTTGTCATGACAAGCTACATAATCCCTACATAAATGTTTATAAATACTTATTCCAATAGGCGTCATTCCCTATAGGTTACGTTTGCCAATTTTCATCAAGTAGCCTTTATGCCAGATGATGCCTGTTGGAATAAGCATTTATAAACAGTTATGTAGGGTTATGTCAGTTGCCATTGTAAGCTTATGTAGCTGTCATGTAGTCTTATGAACTGCACCTTACAGTAAAGTGTTACCGATGAATCATCATTAATATGACCGGGGTCATAAACTATCAAAGTAAAAAGGTTGACTTGATGTGCCATTTTTATTCAATTTCTAATACCAAACATACAGAAAAGATGCGATTGTGTTGACAAAGAATGTATATCTCATATAAATGTAATGGTAACACTTTCTATGAATGTCACCTTTGTAAGCATCTATAAACACAACCATAACATGTTATAATGCATTCATAAGACATTATAAGCATAGCTATAAATATTTATAAAAATCCATTATATGTTATAGCCATGTTTATTATGCATTATGAATTGTTAACATAATACATTATAAGTACTGATCATAACAAATTATAAGAGCTCATAAGTTGTATTTGTCCGCTCTAAGTAAAGTGAAGCGTACTGTACTAAAGCCTCCTCCAGTGTTAAGAGTGAGGCTACAAGTTGAAGTATTTACTGAAGGATTTACTGAAACACTAAAACATTCACAGTAAAGCACATTACAGGCTTCAAATGTCAGAGTTTAAACTAGAGCTGCCATCAGTGTTTTACCCAATGTGGGAAAGGTAATGTACACCACCGTTAGCTTGGTATTTGTCTTTACTTTACGCTCTCCCAAGCTGGGACTGACTTCTTTGGCACTCACATTATAACATGTTATTAACGCTATTTACAATGCATTATATTAACAATTCATAATGTATAATAAACATGGCTATAAAGTGTAATTCAGTGTAATTCTTTTTTCTAAATATTTATAACCATGTTTATAATGCCTTATGAATACATTATAACATGTTATAAATGTGTTTATAGATGCTTACAAAGGTGACATTCATAGAAAGTGTTACCAATGTAATGTACTTTTCACTTAATTATGTCATTTGTAATTGAGTAACTCTACATATAAATGATATGTTGTGGGGGGCAGTTGTGGGCTGGAGGTTAGGGAAGGTCACCGGTTTGATCCCCTGAGTCGACAGTACATGACTGAAGTGCCCTTGAGTAAGACACCCAACCCCCAACTGCTCCCCGGGTGCTGTGGATAGGGCTGCCCACCGCTCCGGGCAGGTGGGCTCACCGTCCCCTGGTGTGTGTGTTCACTAGTGTGTATGTGGTGTTTCACTGCACGGATGGGCCAAAATGCGGAGGTGACATTTCCCTGTTGTGGGACTAATAAGGGTCACTTAATCTAATCTAATCTTAATTATGTAATTCGAAACAGATCATAGGCTTACACTTTCTGGACATAGATATACGTTTATAATATAATGTTTTATAATATAAAAGAAAATTCTAACAATCCACAAACTAACTAAATTTTAAGTTGAAAAAAGAGAAAGATTTTCAGTTGCTCTACCACTCATTCTCGCTCGCATATGGGCACCTCAGTGGCAACAATGCCATCACGTTAAAGGGGAAGTCCAGCATTTTTTCAAAATTCATTGCGATGTAAACAAAGTCATCCAGAGTGGTTTGACGTAAAATGGTCAGTTGTAGAGAAAATTACAGAGATTTCTTTACGTTTTATTTAGTATCCAAAACCACCATTGAACCTACACGTCTTCTGAGTTTTATGCGAAATGATGGTAAAATGATGGTCAATCTGGAATTTTTGGGGACTATTTAGCTTTAACCGCTTTCCTCCCGTCTCCACCAGAAAACTTTTCCTCAGAAGTTGATCAGTTAAATGTCTCTCAGCGTTCGACTGTTTTATGAGGCTGAAGTCGCTTCTTATTCTCCAGCTCCTTGTTCGAATTTACCCGTTCCACCTTAAATTCTAACACCATTTAAGGTGGAACAGGAGAATTCGAAAGAGAAACGACTTCATCTCCGCCACTTTTTAGTGTGTGACAGTCTCTCGTTGCAGATTTAACGTCACCGAGTCACTTAGTCAATATATTTCAGTTGTTTTTTCTTGTATTTTTATTTTTTACTTATTTACTTTCTGTACAGTGATTAGCTGAGCCTCACCACAAGCATTTCAATGCATAAATGTCCTGACATGTTGTGCAAGTGACAAATAAACTTGAAACTTGAGCTCACACTGTGAGAAAATATAAATGCTATATAGAAAAAAAAAGATCCATCAAGATGCATCGATAATCGTTTTATAATCGCATCCCACCCCTAATGTGTGTGTGTGTGTATATATATATATATATATATATATATATATATATATATACTCACTTTCTGTGAGGAGAACTCTTCAGACGTCCGGTTCCTATCACCCCCACAGTGACCGATTCTGACCCGTTAAGTTTCGCATCTCACATCAAACCACTCTTATAACTTTGTTTAAGTCTTAACCATTTAATTAAGTTAAACTTTTGAAAAAGTAACAAAACGTCTGTTTTTTGATGGAACTGTGCCACCTGTTCAGTGACATGCTGCACTCAGCACAGCTCTGAAGGGTTTTTGATGAACATTGTTCTCCTCCTGGTCTACAGCTCGACAGTGCCCTCTGCTGCTCTATCCAGAGAACGGCAGGATGACCTGCTCTCACCTTCACTCCTTCTTCAGTTTTGGTTCGCGCTGTAGTTTCGGATGTGAGGACGGTTATGTCCTCACAGGAGCACCCACACTGGACTGCACTGCGACTGGGTCCTGGAGTCAGGAGGTGCCTTCCTGTAATGGTAAATGAGAGTCGATGTCATTGTAAACACAGAAAATACTCCCCTTAGTTTTCCAATCAACCCAGATGTCATCAGTCATACTGAAGCTATGCTAATGTTAGCTAATGCTAACAACTCTGTAGCCCACTATGTAGTGCTGAGCACACTGCAAAGTTTACCCAGGGGGTCACCACAGATTTATCGATAGGTGGGCTAAGAAGGGGCATACTCCCTCAGGGTTTTGACTGGCCACCTCTTAATAGACCAGTGTAGTTGTGCGTCATTCTGTAGTCCTCGTTATGGACATATTAGGAACTCCGGGTCTGAGCTCCATTTCTCTATGGGCAGAATGAGTAGGGTTTTCAAAAAATGGCCTCTAGCGCCCCCTGTGTTCATTAAAAATGTCCAGAACCCGGTTCGTTTTGTTCTGTGTACATTTTTCTCCTGAAAACCACTGGATCCTCTGAATTATGAGGTCGTTAAAGAGCTATAATACTAATATTGCTACATGCGAGCTAAAGCTACTGCGCATCAATTTGATGTCACCAAGCTACACGAAACTAAGTCGGGCTGTGGCGGTTTGCAACATTCAAGGTCTGATATGATTGGCTTACAACTTACAAGGTCTGATATGATTGGCTTGCAACATTCAATGTCTGATATGATTGACTTACAACTTACCAGGTCTGATATGATTGGCTTACAACATTCAAGGTCTGATATGATTGGCTTAAATGACTTTGTCTCTATTTTTTTCTCTTTTCTCTCTAACACAAACACACAGCTGTTCAGTGCGAGCCTCTTGCTCACTCCCGTCTTCCCCAGTCGCACGCCTCTCCTGTCCCCTTTATGAATTGCTCCCACCCCAGAGGCAACTTCAGCTTTGGCTCTCAGTGTGTGTTCCAGTGCTCAGACGGCTACAGGCTGAATGGGAGCAATGAGCTGGTCTGTACGTCTGCTGGGATTTGGACAGACTTCCTGCCCACCTGCGTCGGTAAGCCTTCACGTAACGAACCTCCTGTGACCACTAAGCTTTCACACTGATAACGGCAAATATTAAATGCACAACTGAAAGGTTTGGAAAGGTTTGACTCTGAACTCCCTCTTATTTAGTGGTACATTGTAACATATCTCGCAGTCATAAATGTAGTATAGTAAATGATATGACTGTAAATGACTCTTTATATATATACATACTTAAATATTACATACAGTACTGTGCAAATGTCAGAGACCACCCTTCATTTATTTAACTTCCATTAAGTACCAGTTATTCATTATTTGTAGGAGATGTTTGGGAATATAAACATTTACATTTACATTTACATAATTTAGCAGACGCTCTTATCCAGAGCGACTTACAAAAAGTGTCTTACAAGGTCTGATATGATTGGCTTACAACTTACAAGGTCTGTTATGATTGGCTTACAACTTACAAGGTCTGATATGATTGGCTTACAACATTGTCTATCCAGAGAAAATAATCCACTTGCATTAGGAAGGACAAAGTTACAAAATGTTGGGATTTTATTGAAATGCAAAAATGTTACAAATGCATAAAACTGTTATTTTATAATAATGTTACTCCTTCACAGATACAACTTCACAGATTTCAGCTAATTAGTAATCTGTGTAACGTGAAGAAATGTTAGATGTGTCCAGAGTGATGAACAGAGCTGTAGCTGATTGTGTAATAACTGAGAAAGCTGCATGACGTCAGGAAGGAAGTTACAATAAAATTTATGTCCAGAGTACCTTGTATTTTGAAACATGGCAGAAAAATCTCAGGCGGATCACTTATCAAGATATTAATACAAATAAATAATTACATTACATAATTTATCATTTAATAATTTTTTGATGTTTAAACCAAAAGCTTTAAATATGAAATAAAATTGAATAAAATAATAGCAACTATTAATATGATTCCAAATGTTTGAATGCTAATGTAGGTGGAGCACATTTAGTGGTCAGGGAATGAAAGTACATCTACTGCAAACATGTTGGCCCTGACTTCCAGAAGTGTTGAAGTCGAGAAATTTATATATATTTGGTGTACTAACTTTCTGTGAGGGAGCTTTTAAAGGTGTTTAACTCTTAAACGTCTGGTCTCCAACCACCCCAATTAACTTTGTTTACATCTTAACCATTTAATTATGTGGAACCTTTGAAAAAGGTAAAGTAACAAAACATCTGTTTTTTGATGGAACTGTGTCACCTGTTCAGTGACATGCTGCACTCAGCACAGCTCTGAAGGGTTTTTTGTTTGTTTTTTTGATGAACATTGTTCTCCTCCTGGTCTACAGCTCGACAGTGCCCTCTGCTGTTCACTCCAGAGAATGGCGGGATGAGGGTCGATGTCATTGTAAACACAGAGAATACTCCTCTTAAAGGTTGAGAAATTCAGGGATGTAAAACTGTGTTACCATCAGCACAACACCAGTATTAAGTATCTAGCTATAGTAAAAACAGTCATACTGGTGTGGCTGTTTCGAAGTACTTAATAGAACAATAGAAATATGAGAACCAATAATGTTAAGTTTCTTGAAGTTAAAGCTTAAAACAGCCAACTTAAAACAGTTGGCTCTCCATGCTTTATGGCCTCTCCTCTTTTCTCTAGCTACCTCACAGGACCTTGAAGCTAGCTGGACAGCTAACGAGTAAAGAGCTAAAAACTCAATAACCAGCTATGCTGACCACATTTTGCACAAATCCATATTGTGGGCAGATCTCTTCACTCTGCAACTACCTACTGATTCAGACTGGATATATTTTGAGTAAGGCCTAATCTTTATTTCAGGGCACTCTTAGGTAAAATCCTGTCACAACGTCAGTTACCGACTGTCCCTCCACCAAGGTCTGATATGATTGATTTGCAACTTACGAAGTCTGATATGATTGGCTTACAACATACACGGTCTAATATGATTGGCTAACAACTTATAAGGTCTGATACGAGTGGTAGTGACTCCCCTGTAGGTTACCGCCTCATCTGCCTCTAAAGTTTTTAAGCAAATAGACTTCTAATGTGATTTCTATTCATATAAAAGTGGTCAGACGGTAACATTTTTATGAATAAATGTTGGGTTATAAGCTTTTACCCATAAAAGCTTCCATTACTTTAGCTGTTACCTACATTAGCATTACAACACCAAGCATGTGGCTGATCAAGCACATTGGGAGGATAATTTGACGGAGGATTCCCTTAATGGTGCACAGAAGAAAGAAAGACGAATCTGTTTTAAGACAGAATGTCAGTGTGAACATTTGTAAATGACTCTGTCTCCATTTTTCTCTCTTTTCTCTCAAACGCACAGCTGTTCAGTGTGAGCCTCTCGCTCACTCACCTCTTCCCCAGTCGCACGCTCCTCCTGTCCCCTTTATGAATTGCTCCCACCCCAGAGGCAACTTCAGCTTTGGCTCTCAGTGTGTGTTCCAGTGCTCAGACGGCTACAGGCTGAATGGGAGCAATGAGCTGGTCTGTACGTCTGCTGGGATTTGGACAGACCTCCTGCCCACCTGCGTCGGTAAGCCTTCACGTAACGAACCTCCTGTGACCACTAAGCTTTCACACTGATAACGGCAAATATTAAACGCACAACTGAAAGGTTTGGAAAGGTTTGACTCTGAACTCCCTCTTATTTAGTGGTACATTGTTGGTAACAAGTTGGTGATATTTGGAATCAGAATTCAAAAGTTTGAGCTGTAGATGATTGTATAATAACTAGTAAGCTACATAACATCAGGAAAGAAGTTACAATAAAATATGAATCCAGAATGCCTTGTATTTGAAACATGGCACAAAAATCTCAGGCAGACAAGTTATCAAGAAATTAATATAAATAAATAATTAAAGTATATTATTTATCATCTAATATTTTTTTTATTTTCCCAAAATGCTTGAAATATTAGATAAAATTGATTGAAATACATCTTGACATCTACATTATAGTTAAAGTTCAGAATAATTTATAATAAAATAACATAAATGAATACATTAACAGCAATTATTAATATAACAAGTGATTCCAAACATTTGAAAGCTGTTGTAGGTGGAGCACATATAGTGGTCAGGAAGGGAGTAAATGATAGGTGTTTCTACTAAAGTGGACAGTGAATGTATATCTATTTTAGATATTTTGATATATGCATTAAAACATCTTTAACCCCTGATTAAAGGCCTTGTGTGTGCATGTATTTCAGTGAAGGAGATGCCATTAGGCACTAGCCTGCTTGTGTACATTGCCACTGGTGCCGCATTATCAATTGGCCTGCTGATGGTAGGAGGGCTGTTTCTGCTGTTGGTGCATCAGTTCACGAAGAAGGGTAAGAGACATGCTCTTCTTACCCAGTAGAGGGCTCCACAGAACAGCCCAGCGTCTGATCCCTAACTGTCAAACCTGTACAGTTGCGTGAATGAGTGTTGATTTGTTTCTTTCCACTCCAGCTAAATTCACACCAGATAACTCAGCTTGGGATGGGAGTCTGAATCCAGCCTTCGAGGACATTTAGCTTAAGAAATGTAATCATATGCTTTCTGTCTCAGCCGTTTACAGATTTCTCAAAATGTGTTTGCATTATGAATGTTGATGTTGTCAAATTCGGTGAAACTTTACCTTAGTTGTATGTCTGTGTATCTGAAACAGAGAGTAATATTGAGCTTTCTGTGTGATTTTGCATGTTTGTGCTGTGAGTCATGAAATCATTTGATATTCACTCACTGGCCACATTATTAGAAACTCCTTGTCTGTCCACTCACTGCCTGCCTTAGGAGATTCACCTGCCTTACACAGTATTGTGCAAAAGTCAGAGGTTACCATTCATTTAACTCTTGTGTGGTGTTGATGTGTTTGTTACTCAGTGGTCTGCTGGATCCACCACATTATTGTTTTTATAAATCAATACAGCCATAACTATTACTGTAAAAATACCAGATGTTTAAAATATCACAAGTGTCCAGCGTAGGGTTCTCCTTTAGCAGCTGTAGCCAGTCAGCAGCCTGTCCAGGTTGTCCACCCTCACACACACACACACTAACAGCAGGCCGTGTAGGAGGAGAACAGAGTGAAGGACACAGCACCTCCACACTTTTACTCCCGCGGGTTCACCCAACACCACGTGTGTAATATAAATGTGTGGGGGGTGAACAGAGTGAAGACACTGAAAATGGGTTATTTTATATGTTCTTCACAGAAAATGAGCAAAGACCAAGAATCTGAGGTTGAAATAATAATAAATCGCATCATTTTTTCTTTTGGTAAAGATTGAAAATGGGTCCCACAGACCTGAACACCACACAAGGGTTAATTTCCAGTCAAAAGAACCAATATGTATAAATCATCAATTTTCAGGAGAAGTTTCAGAAGAGATTAGGCGTAATCCACTTGCATAAGGAAGGGGAAAGTCAAGGGTGTATAGGGGAAAAAACAGGAGTTTCCAAAACTGACTGAATGATTAAATAATTAAAATGATTAAAAGATACAGAGAAAAAATCCACAGGTGTTTCTGTCCATCCTTCCACTGTGAGAAGATGACTCAGCGCTATGGGTCTGAAAGGATGTGCAGCTGTCAAGAAACTGGGAAGAGGAAAGAGGAAACAGGCCAACATTAGAAAAATTGCACATCAAACAAAAAAGCTGCTGGTGTTCTCAACCCCAGAGTCCAGACCTCACCTCAGCATCACTGAATGTGTTTGGGGTTACTTGGGATTGTGAGAAGCAGACAATGCAACCAACTTCTAAGACTGAACTTTGTAGGTGTGGAAAAATATCCCTGCAGATTTCTCTGAAAAACTGAAAGCAAGTCTTTCAAAAAGAACAGAAGCTGTAATAAAAACTTAAATGACATTATATATAAACTTATATCTAAATGGGGCACACAGCCCCCCCAACCCCCACCTCCCACATGAAGAATGGATGTAAAGAAACGGCCCAAAATGACTTGGAAAAACATCTGGTTCCATTGACTTACATTAAAGTAAAGTAGGTTTTTTCCTTCTCCTGTAAAGTTACCATTCTGGAAATACGAGGTTTTCTTCTGACAGCAGCGACATGTTCATTTTGTTGGCATTGTGGATGGGAAAGGGGAAAGGTTTGTTGGCAGTAAGTAATTTGTGATTATGAAAAATTGGGGTCCTGTTTTTTTCTAATGCTGGAAAATGATCCGTTTACTTAATGGCCATTTTGACTGGAAATTAAACTTTTGCACAAACTGTTCACTGTATTAGAGTACATTTTCAGACTATAGCACATCTACTGTTACACAATATACCAGCCCCCTCTACCCATTATCATTGGTCAGTTTCTGACCACAGATCTGCTATTGACTTGATATTATTTAGTGGCAGATTATTCTCAACACAGCAGTTTTGAACACCTTAGACTAACAGATGGGTTCAGAATAGTCTGCCAGCCAAACATGTCTAGCCAGCGGTTGCTCTGTAGTCAGAAACTGACCACTGATGAGAGGCTAGATGATGGCTAACACATTGATAATGACAACAGATGAGCTACAGTCTCTAATTACACCAGCAAGATGGACTCACAAGGTAGGTGTTTCTAATAAAGTAGCCTGTGAGTTTGGGGTGGGCGATATGGCAGAAATATTACATCATGATACTTCAGGACATTTTCACGATACACAGTAGTTAGTTTTTCTGAGATTTAATAAAGAGCAAATAAAATAGAACCTGTAGTGCCTCATTTAAAATACAATAATAATAATAATAATAATAATAACAATAATAAGTCTTACAACTGCAATGATTTTTGTTCAATGTTCTACAAACTGCACTGCACTAAATCCAATGAAACAAGTCTGATTTGCAGTGAAACATGTAGTTAGTGTCATTTAAGTACTGTTTATATCCATGATATGCTCAGAAAAGCGTATTGTAATATAATTTATCATGATAATAATAAAATACCATCATGTTGCCCACCCCTACTGTGAGTGTGCATCATCAGGACAATACATTTGCCATTTTCCATCTTCGCTCTTTTTGTATATTTGCATTACATCTGTCAAAATATATCTGAATTATAAATATTGTAATACTAACTAATTTGATTAAACATCAGAAGATCTGTCATTTGTATATGTGTAAGAAATATGAATAAAGAGAACAGTATTGTGAGTGGAGGGTGTGATTCGCATGTTTATCAGTTACAGACTGATGTGATGTATGTTTACAAATAATGTATATGAGTGTATCATTTTCTCATTCTATCATAATATATAGTGTCTCATCCACATACAGATACAGTGCATTTATAGACAGGCAGATAGTCTATGATATAATAGAAAGGCTAATACAATACATTGGCCAGGTTTGTTGCCAGTGAATGACAGCAGGGTCATTCTTCAGCGTCTGGGTATCTCTCTCTCTCTCTCTCTCTCTCTCTCTCTCTCTCTGGTGGTGGTGGAGGATAAAGACTGGCCCCCGCTGTGGTTCCCTGTGTTCAGATTGCTCACACACTCACTGTTCTTTCCAACCTGGCCCCATTGCGGTCAGCCAGGCGGAGCAAGGCATGCTGCCTTCGGGCACTGTGCCCACTGTCGCTCACTCCACACCCGCAGACTGACCTCTGCCCGTTCACCTTGGTGTCCAGGAGGGAGGGGTCTTCTGAAACTGAGAGGGGGGCTCTGAGGTCTGTTCATAAATCTCTGCAGTGGAGTGATGAGTGGAGTGATAGCCATGTCTGATTCTGACTGGACCGAATGTTTTCTTCAGATCCTGGCAGCTCAGTTTTAAGTCAATGTGAATTATAAAAGAAACAAGTGCTGCTGAGACGAATAGCAAAGATATATTTGTGAATTAAAACATCAGCAAACTTGTTATTTTGCATTATTTTTCCTTTTTTTTTACTTCAGACCTTTTCACCCAAAATTCACACCATTCTGTTCACTGTTACTTTTTAATTAAAAACATTTCAAAGAAACACTCTGCTTCTTTTTTTCATTCAGCATAATGAAATAGGACATACACAGATTTGTCCACAGTGGTGGTGAAGCTACCTCATAGAAAGATATTACATGTATTGGTTACAAATACATTGCCTAATGCCTGAGACATTGTGCCTAGTTCACCAATAAATTCCTAGGCTTTTTCTTAAATGAGTCCTTGAGGAAGGTCTTAAGAAAAAGACTCAGATTCATGACATGTTCTTAAACCACAGAATGGCTGCACCTTTGTGCTCTTCATGCTCTTACCTAAGAACACATCCCAAATTAGAAGACACTGGTGAATGTCAAAATATTTTAAAAAAAATGCGTGTTTTAATTTTAAGAATAAATTTTTTATTAAGAATAAAATATTTTGAATAGTTTTGAGATAAAACTTTGGCCCCCAGGGTGTTATAAAGCAAAATAGTCCTTAAAGAACTCATTTTTCAGATTAACCACTATTTTACCATTATTGACATTACATATAAAAACTCAAGCCAAACATTGGTCATTCTGATTGATAAAATGGCTAGCTTTGTGTTGTAGACATTGAGACCCCTGGTTCTTATCAACTCAGTGCAAGAAATCCTTGGCATGAGGAATCTTAATGAATCTAAATGAAAAATGCTCATTTTAACATTCACATGCTCATTTACACTGATCAGGCATAACATTGTGACCACCTCCTTGTTTCTACGCTCATTGTCCATTTTATCAGCTCCACTTACTATATAGGTGCACTTTGTAGTTCTACAGTTACAGACTGTAGTCCATCTGTTTCTCTGATACTTTGTTAGCCCCCTTTTACCCTGTTCTTCAGTGATCAGGACCCCCATGGACCCTCACAGAGCAGGTACTAGTTGGGTGGTCGGTCACGTCAGTAACACTGACGTGCTGGTCTGAGTGGATCAGTGCTGCTGGAGTTTTTAAACACCACAGTGTCACTGCTGGACTGAGAATAGTCCACCCACCAAAAATATCCAGTCAACAGTGTCCTGTGGGCAGCGTCCTGTGACCACTGATGAAGGACTAGAGGATGACCAACACAAACTGTGCAGCAGCAGATGAGCTGTCGTCTCTGACTTTACAACTACAAGGTGGACTGACAAGGTAGGAGTGTCTAATAGAGTGGACAGTGAGTGGACAGTGTTTAAAAACTCCAGCAGCACTGCTGTGTCTGATCCACTCGTACCAGCACAACACACACTAACACACCACCACCACGTCAGTGTTACTGCAGTGCTGAGAATGATCCACCACCCAAATAGTACCTGCTCTGTGAGGGTCCATGGGGGTCCTGACCACTGAAGAACAGGGTAAAAGGGGGCTAACAAAGTATCAGAGAAACAGATGGACTACAGTCTGTAACTGTAGAACTACAAAGTGCACCTATATAGTAAGTGGAGCTGATAAAATGGACAATGAGCGTAGAAACAAGGAGGTGGTCATAATGTGATGCCCGATCGGTGTAAATTAAAAGATTTTGGAAAAAGCCAAGTGGCCCTAAACATTTGATGGACACTGTATATTGTATTTGCCCTTTTTCTCCACATAGAATGGGTCATGATTAAAACATTTGTCTATGTTTGAAATCTTCTGCAAGTGTTGCCACATACAAGAAGCAAAATCTCTCAATGATCAGTGATGGACTGACTGCAAAATATCCATCAATGAATGAATGAAAAGCCAGTGAAAGCACAGAAGGACGGATCGGATGAGGTGCAGCTCTTTTGCGAAACAAGCAGGCCTGCTATGGTAAAGCTGCCGCATCTGTTTCTGCAGCGTCCCAGCGTGATGCCAATTATATCGGTTAGGAGGCAGAGGGTTTTCTGCCCGTTCTGGCACGGCTGGTGTAATAAATAACCGATCAGCTGACTGCCAGTCTCTTGGCTGCTATCAGAATAATAACGAGGCTATTGGTGCCCGCTGTGACCGCATGA